TATATTACATCAACAGCCTATGATAGTCCACTGCTGGACATAGGCCTCTTCTTAGAAATGAGGTTTTGGCCTACTATACCACGCTGGCCAGACGGGGGTTGGTATATGGTTTGTTTCAAGTTTTCCTTCTCTTTGCCTTTCTCCCTTAGTCGACTTTTACGACACCTACGGCATGAATAGGGGGTGACATTACGTATTCTTAATCCGTCACCACACGGATATAACATATAATAATATATATATATATATAACCTCCTTTCTAAGGAGAGGCTTATGTCTAGCAGTGGACTATTAAAGGCTGTTGATTGATTGATTGATATATATATATATATGTATATATATATATATATATATTGTATATATAAATAGTGGTCCCACTTCCATAATACCTTAGTGTGTACTATGTATTCTATGGCTATGAGTAGTATTCTCATATAATTAGGTTTACTACTAATACTCGCACTATTCTCTACAAGTATTTTCTAAAATTAAGTGCAGTTTTCCAGGCTCCACAAAATAATTTACTTACAACTAGATCTAGAGCTATTTAACGCATTAGTCGCAGGGTTAATTTATTCAAATCTATGCTCCACCCATTCGCCAGTTCGATGATAGTTATTCCAGGGATTTAAATAGAAGAAGAATGGAGGGTTTACAGAATGTTATTCACATAACAGCAAAAGCAAAATATCTGTCTCTCCGTTTGTGTTGTGCTGCTGTGTGCCTTGGCAACTTTGTATCTTTGTTGGCTCCAGCCAATAAAGATACAGTGACAATACAGAATTCCATTGAAACCAATGCATAGACTTAATTCGTTTATTTGCCAACAAATAGGGCGTAAATTTGTGAGGAAATATACTCTGAGAGTTGATCATATAAATAAGTGATTCAAGAGCTTAACATATATGTCATGGGGGTAAGATGGGAGGCCCCAGGATTGGAAAACATCTCCTTCTGCCGAAATATTGCCAAATTAGTGTATTCTTAGTGGTTAATAGGGTTGCTAGAACTTAATTTAAAATAAGTGAGAGGTGGGAATAAGCAAATGACACCACTACTTTTGTGGGTGTTCATTGGTAATGCTAATCGTCTATCAACAGGTGGGACCGACCCTATTGCGTGTTTTGCTTGCGAGAGATAATGTATGTTCTCCATTTCCTCATCTTTCTAGCTTGTATTTATTAAATCTATGAAATGTTAGGATAATATCTACGGGACGCAACAAACCCATGTTGTAAAGTCATATCCACATAACTCTGAACTCTCAGTTCTGTGGTCTTCCCTAAGTATAATACCAGACAATCAAACGAATCGCCTCAGAGTGGGATTAATGGTGAACATAATATTTAAACGCTAGAGAATTAGAAATGAGGAACTTTGAATTGATTCACTTTAATGTGAGCTAGCACCGCCTCATTTGAATTACGTAACTAGGTTGTGAAATATGTGGCAGGACGGTAAACTTAGCTTCCTGTGCATTCCTAGTTAGAAAAAAAATAAAAATCCGTAGACCTGTGTAGTATGTACTGAGTAAAAAATTACACTCAACGATGATGCTCTTCGTAGGCTTAAAGACTGTTACCAAAATTTCAAAAAGCCCGCTCTACGTAGAACAGAATATTTTATAATAGGCACATGTGTGATACCAGGCCCAGACGCAAAAAAATAGAGTCTATTGAATATGCGACGCGCCGCGCACTTTGCAAAGGTCGAAAACCTCAGCGACAATGGACAAGATTCTTCCACGATTTCATTGCGCCTTACAACTCTTATTATGTGTGCCTGTTTTACACCTTTTAACGTTAGAACCAATTTGCAATTTAAGAGATATGTGAGACATAAGCTGGTTTACACCTACCTTAATCGAAAAATATCTAAAAACAAAAAAATACGTAACAAGTACATACATATTTACGACACGACGCGCTAATGATTACTCGTGCTGCGAAGACGCCCTTGAATTAACAAAAAATAAACAAATAGCAATGACCTCGGCCCACATGATAGACCACGAGTGCTTACGCTATTATTCAAACTGAGTCAGGTCAGATTAGGGCGAGCATTATAATATTCATAGTATAGTACACGTTTGGGGAACACGTTATTGTAAAATAGAACTAGAATCACCGGCTAGTTTGATTTGATAAGGTGACGTCATCGTCGTCTGGGCCCCCAATTTGACGTCAGCTAGTACAGTGACCCACAAATCTACAGACACAATAAATTCAGCAACGTACGATGCGAAACTGCTCGGGTCAATGAACTGTTGACGTATTTAAAATACGCACAAGTAGGTAGGTACCTTATCGCGAAATGTAGTACGCGTCGCGGCAAGCGGAGCGAACTTGCTGTGCTATGTGTTTGCAAAATGGTTATTTATAGATGTGAGTGTCCGTGACGGATGGTTCGTGCTATTCCTAAGGTCCCGCGAATTGGTGAGTAATAAATAACATTTTACTATAATTTAAGGAATAATTAAACTCATAAAAATGAAAAGTTCAGGTATCAAACCTCTTGCAAAACCCAATCAAAAGTACATCTAAATAGTTTTGTTTACATTTAGTGACTGGTTGTTATTGTATTTGAAAAACAAAATTATTCTAAGAAAAGAAGAAAATGACAAATCGATTAGATACATTGTCATTTTCGAAAATAGTGAGGCTCCTCATTAAAATCGCATTGTTGATAAACAATTTTTATTTCTTATCGGTTTTGGCTGTCTGTAGTTATAACATTAATCAGATTAGTTTTTCACAGGACGTAAATTAAAGTAATCACGCGACTGAAATATTTTTTCAAGATTAGTAACCGCCGGAAACTCGGTGAGAGTTCGTTTTGCTGCTGTACTTTTAACGCTTTTGATATGAAAATGTGAGAAAGGAAGTGTGTCTGTCGTGCTGCTACAAGACATACTACACCAAAGTTCTTTCTTTATAAAGAAAGGAAGAGTCTGCGTTAGCAGTTTAAGCGACTTTGAACTTGATGCGCATTTCCATTAAGATTCATATTGGCGCTGTTAGGGCTGCATTGGAACTTTGTCTGTACAAAACTAGGCACCCGCAGTAGCCGTCCTACCTATCTACCCACATAATACGACGGATACAGATCCGAGTTTCTTACTTACACATACGCGTGAAGTACGAAGGCCAGTTTTAAATACGTGTATGTATCGCGAATACATACGGCTTCGATGATCAGCAGGTGTAAGCGAACTAAAGGCAGGGGTTATTGCGATTAACTCTTTTATCCCTTCGTTTCTACATCAAAGAGTAATGAACCTTCTTCTACTATTGGACAACGTCGATTAGTAACCGTGTGATTTTTATTTTGGTTGAAAGCGAGATTGCATTATTTTTTATTAAACCAACGTAGTGTTCATGACATGTGTGTCACTTTCGAATCTAGCAAGTATTGGTGTTTTTAGTGTATTCAAATAATTAAGCAAGAATAATCAGTGCTTCAATATCATTATGTTAATGAGGTAAGATTCCAATAAGGAAATAAATGAATGGGTGTTTTATAGAGGATATTCATAAAGAATTATTTTTTAATTGTATTGGTACTTAATTGATGTTATGTATTTTGTAAAGCTTTCTGATTTTATAATAATGTTTAAAGACAGTTCCGAAGTAACTAATTGTAACAACAAAGGCAAGTGGCAGTGAATCGATTGCGAGTAACGAAGGTCATAGGGTTTGCAAGTGTGCGTATGTATGCAAGTATGCAGGCGAGCTCGGTGCGGCGTCGCTGCTGCACGCCTGCACCGGCGGTTGCAACACCCTCCCCCCTTCATTCTCGGCTTCTCGCTCGTCGCCGTCTTGCCGCTAGCCTGTCTCACCTCGCGGCCGGCAGCCTTGCGCGACGCGCCGCGCTCTTTCACATTCAAAATTATTCGCAACCATTGCAAAAACTCTCTGTGCAATAAAAAAAGTTATATTCGATGCATTCGCAATTAGTTTTAGAACAGAGAGGCTGTTAAAAGTTATTTAAGAATTTAAGTGCCTTTAAAACTTTGAATGCACTCCTCGTTGCATGTCCCGCGCGCGTCGTTATGTTATGAGAACCCCGTACTCGCGGTCACGTTGACGTCGCGCGGTGCCGCCATATCTGTCTCGGCCACCAACTAGCAAAATTAATAGGTAATTATTTTCGTGTACAGTGTTTCTGATTGATTTTGTTCTACAGTGACTGTGCTAAAGTGATTTCAATATTCTAACATTCTTTGTGTTAATTCCAATTGGATTCTTTCTGGAAATTAAGGCGCGCGCCGGCCGGTTCTTATCGGGTGCAATGCAGTTGCAGTCTCAACTTATTGCAGTTTTGCATTCTCCAAAGTTTCTTGAGCGCAAAGTTTCTAGTGTTTATTTATTACTTCAAGAGGATTGTTAATGTGTTTAAAAGTGATTATTTGTTAGAAGTGTTTATGTGTAGCGGTTTCTAAAGAGTCGTCATAGTTTACTCTGCTGTGTTATTTCGGTCATTGACCGCCGGAATTCGCATCTCGTTTATAATAGTGCTGTTGTTAGATTTTTTGACATAATTGAGAATTTCGTTTTCTAGGCTCAAAATTGTGTCACCTCACTAGAAGAATGCAATGACCCGCGCATTCGCTTTTTGAAATTTCGCCTTTACCCGGATGGAATGAGGAGTGCACAATCCCATTGTTTCACAGTTTCATATGTTTGAACATCATTTGTTTTTTTGTTTTTCGGACGATTAGAGCGTTTTCATTTTCTTCCAAAATTACAAAAATTACAAAATAAAGGTAAATATTATTTCTTTAACCAGTAGTATAAATAAACATAATTTAAATTTTATAAAATATAATCGTTGCCATTGCTCACACGCGTGGCTTCCTTGAATCGCAGCTCAATGACATCATCTGTAGGCAACTCAATTTAGGTCCCAAACCTAAGTCCTAAGTTGAGAAAGTTCATTCCTTTATTACTACAATTGAGAGTTACTGTAAATTAAGTGTGGTGTGTGTAAAATGATACAGAATGGCGGAGGGCAATGGAGAGATACCCATTGAAGAAGTATCTGGGAAGGACTCCGATGTTGGCCGGACACCAGATTACCGCAAACTCATTGACTATGGCTTGGATTCTAAGGTAAGCATTATGTACTAAACTAAGCTTATTTGTGCATTACTGTGCAATGAGGAGACCAGTCAATATCACAAAGTACCAATAAAACATCACCAAGTTTTACCGCTGTAAACAGCTTAATACAAAGTTTAATCTTATTATTTTTCAAAATTTTACCAGATGTACATTTTTGCCCCTAAATAAAATAATAATTTTTATATATTTAGCATCTATTATTAGGTATAGTATTTTGTAAAATCTATATTTTGCAATGTTGACTGACTCCGCAATACCATTCATTTAGCGGTGGACATTTCTAAAAACTTAAGTTATTGAGGTTCCTTGCAACTAATTGTATATTTAAATGAATATAATACAGCACATCTCACTGTTGTCCATGCTTTTTAGTAGTTAAATAAAAAATATACATATATATTAAATAAAATAAATATTCTTATAGGAATCTTATTGGATTGTCTATGGTCTGACTCATACAATACCATGTCTTGTTAGATATTCATTTGTTAATGTATATTGAAACTATGATTAACTAAAACTATTCTAGTACTGGGGTAGGTACATCTAGATGTGTAGGGTACCTACCCCAGTTCCTACCCTTACTAGTAGGTACTAGACCTACTTGTATTTTATATGCAATAAAATGGCATCTTAAAAAATCCTATCCTAAGTCTTATTTTGTCCATATAATACTAAGTTTTGGGCTAAAATTATGATATTGATATACATTTATAAATTTATACAATATGCTTAGTAAAAATATTTATATAAAATATATATATAAGTAACATGTTTATTATATATTATACATAGTCACATTTTTTTTCATAGCAATATAAAAAATGTTATCTAGATAACAATAAACTGGCTTACTACACACTTTTTATGATTCACTAGTGTTATTACATTATGGCAATATTCTTATAAGTCCATGTGGGACTTCTTTAACTATGTTGCCGCACCTGAAAACTGGTGCTGAAGTTGTTATATTGGTAGCAGTATTTTGCACTTTCTCTCTGATAACTGACTGACCTTTGGTATTTATTATCTGCCCACCTACAATGCATGCAGACACTTGTGTGTTAAAAAATGGTTACAAGAGTGTGAGTACTTAAATTATTGTCAAAAAGATACAGGCTTTATGACGTCACTATCTTGACCCCTCATAGATTATGGATCTACATAATCACAAGAAGGCACGAAATATGTCCTTATCATTTTTATCCTCATTTACGATCAAATGCATAAAGATACTACATATTGTGTCCTACGTACAGTACAAAGCACATTCGCGATCTGATTCTTATATGATTCTTATTGGAAGGCAATAAAGTCAGGAATTGAGTGCTTTTGCATATACAAATATGTATAATTCCGAAATCCTTACGCGTGAGGTCAATGCATACTGGTATACGTTGCAAGAGACGAGGTAAGGGCAGGGAGGGGGCAGTAGGCAGGCACTTAGTAATTTTCCTCGTCACTGTCCTTATATGTCTGTAGGTATGTCCTTTATTCGTGAAATGTGTAAGTAAGAAATATTTAGTGGAAACCAACTCGTCCATTATCTTCATAAAATAGTGTCAAGTTATAATGGTCAAGTGCTTATACCTATTGACTATTTCTTTATAATCGCGTGATTCGATAACTGTATTACAGTAATTTATTTTTCACACGATCGAACGCTTTCGTCCGAAACCATGTAAGAACAATTGTTATTAATAAATTGAAACCGTTTACGCTCAATTGCAGTATGTGAGCTGGCATCAGTGAGCCGCCTGTGCTAACTTTATATTAAAACAAATGTAGTTGTCCCTAGGTGTAACCACGGTACTATTATAATACAGTAGTGTAACTCGGCCGCATGATAGAAATAAATGCCTACAGCCGCGCGGTACTTAAACATGCGTTAGGGCTGCGCGTCTCCAGCATTTTAATTATATTTGCCTACTTTCTGTTTCTATTTAGATTTGTGATTGTAAATATCATTTTTATATAAATAAATGAAATACTTTGTATATTGAATAGGAAGTGTTCAATAAAAATGTGTGTTGTTTTTTATTGGTAGATTTAATTATTTTATTTTCTTTCTGCATTGGAGGAGTTTCAATTTTCTTTTTCTTGGAGTGTTGCTAGAGAGACTCGTTGAGGTTTGAGCAAAGATTTCATTTGTTGCATTATCAGTCTGTGTACTATTTTCATTTCCTACCAACGGAGCAGTTTGGGTTTGTTTATCTTCTTTTAGAGATACTCCTGGATCATTACCAGCTAAGCTTGGCAGCATCAACAATGGTAGGGCATTCTTTTTTAAAAGTTTTCTATTTGATGAAGGTAATACATCCTCCAAATTAAAATGTTTTTCACAAACTTGGTAGGAACTAAAGTTAGGTTTGTTTTCCAAATCATCTCGCCGGATCAGTTGCAACCATTGAAGACGTCTGAAAAAAAAAATACATGTGACACTCTCGGCGACTGCCGCGGTAAAGCTATTGCATAACATTTTTTTTTTAAAGAAAAAAATCTGCGTGGTGTCAGGTATTTTTCGTTAGGTTTTGAGAATTTCTTGATTCGGTCACGCCGCGCCGCACTCAGAGCCCGCGATAAAAGCAATAGTATAAAAATCCTTCTATAGAATAAAAAAAATGTGCTTTGTCCTTACGCGTTACAAAACTCCAATCCTTAGAAACTCCAACACCTACCTACTCAACTAGAATGCAAGAAACAGCTGACGAGTAAGTAACTTTTTATCTCAGCTTATTACGGTCTCTATAAATTAGCTACCTACCTACAACTCAAAACAAAAATTCTTTGGTCACCAATTAATTAATTATTAAAAAGCTGAACAGCTGACTACGAATGTTTTAAAATCACAACCCTCAAACATCTAAATATTATATATGAGTCTAGCTGTTGTTGTTAATACCGAGAAAATAAAACCAGTTTTTAGTGGTATATGTTGTTATAGTAGCAGCAGAAACACTTTGTGAAAATTTCGAAAACTATCTAATGACACACAGACGGTAAAATTTTTTTTTCTAGTATTATTCATACACACAGATAATAAACAAATATTATTAAAAATAAAATACCACGTCTTTACTTTGAATTATGCAAAGTAACAAAACACACATGCACCGAAGTTTTAACACAAGCGTAAGTAGATAGGTACCTACCTATTTCACTCGTCTCAATAACTTTCCGTTACTCTATTCGCTTAATGATTAATCCAACCACCTTTTTTTTCGTAAGATAAAAGGAAATACTTATCAATTAAAAAGACACACATTATGTACCTTCCTACTAGTAAGTAAAATTATTATATAGTCTTACCTTTCAGAGTTTCCAGGTAATTTAAAAAAACTTATGTCTGGATGCGTTATTGACGAATTCATACTACCCAAAGCAGCACAATATTTCCTACTCGTCATATTAACTGATTTTTAGAGAAAAAATCGCGCGGTTATTGTTAAAAAAAACAACACACCGTCCGTTCGACACTGCGGTACAGCCGTGACTGTCTGCGCCCCGAGCGCACCCCGAGATCGAGGCGCGTAGGTATAGCTCGCGTTTCGTCCGTTTGTATGAAGTTGGAGTACTGTATTATAATTGTACCGTGGTGTAACGAACCCTCGAAATATTTTGTCATGAATGTGACTGATGTGCTGGTAAATAAATACAAGGGCCGCCATTTTATATACCTTTGGTTATAAATTGACAACACATTTAGTGTCATACGGTGCGTCAACCCTGACTAAAGATGTGCATACCCCACAGATGAACAAAAACTTTATACAGCTAGTTAAAGACTAGCCAGTCGCGCGGCTTTATATTGAGCTGAAATCTGCTGTGCTTTCTGGTTCACTACAGGTGTACTTAAGTTCTACATATGTACGCGGTTTAATCACGCCTGATTATCATGTCAATGCAAGTTGCAGATTATTGCAAGCTATTGTTGGCCTAGATCCAGAAAATGACTATAAAAATTATAAAGTTTGCATTGCTAGCTATATATATGTATATACTACGTAATACTATAATTCTAAACATGTGACAAGGAATCTCAAGACGTATGTGTATGTCAAAATTTATTTATTTATTTCCATTGAAAACAAAAGCAGACACCCATAACGGTTTTCACTGCAGCGGTTTAATACTCTACCCGCTTCAGTAAGTGTACAAGAAGCTATAGCGATTAGCAGACATTGTATTTAATGCTAACTATTGTGTCGTTTCCAGGTAGCAGCCAAGCTCGACGACATTTATAAGACTGGAAAGCTAGCGCACGCTGAACTTGATGAGCGTGCGCTAGACGCCTTAAAAGAATTTCCATCCGACGGTGCTTTAAGTGTTCTTGGACAATTTTTAGATTCAAATCTTGAGCATGTATCTAATAAAAGTGCTTATTTATGTGGAGTCATGAAAACCTATAGGTGAGTATATCCACGTTGCATTATTTCGCCTGGCAACACTATCAAAATATTGGACGATTGCCAAGCCGACCAGTAACTCGTATTTTTAGGTCACAATCTTGAAAAATTGATTTGACAAACCTATACAATGCAGACGACCGTTGAATTTAAATCACTCGACCCTCTGAGTTGCACTAGGAAACGTCGTTTTATGTACTGCACGACCTTGTAGTTAAAGGGCAATGCGAAAATCGACGCAGAATTTAAAAATACCTTGTTGCAGTCACATACTCGAATACCGGTTGGTTTCGGACCATTCAAAAGATTGTTCTGATGAATTGAATATACGGGATATTCGATTTAATATCGAGCTTTGGTAGAAGAGGTTGCCGTTACAGATCATTACAATGCAATAAAGATGATTGCCGTGTCTAAAATAACACCATATCTAATGACTTTATCTGGGGTCTGATAGACAGCACAATTGTCGTACTGCCAATACGTTACTCGGTGCCATCTAGTTTTACCTCGTAGTATGACGCTTTATGAACTGCAACTAACTTGTTAGAAGGCATAAAATACTTACTAACCAAAAACTTTTTATTGAACGACTAAATTTATTTGTTTTGTAGTAGGCATCGATCTCTGTAATATACACCTTGTCAATTAACCTGTTTTAAATTTTAACTTAACCTTATTCTAACACACAAATTGAGCTTTTAGTACCCCACTTATCGGAAAAAACACTATGCTATGCCATTCAACAGCCGGCTTACCGCAAACCCTGTGGGGTGACGGCCCGAGGTTTTCACACGTAAAAAAAAGGGTAGAGATATACTAACCGTGTCGAGCTTTTTATAGTTTACCTAAAAACTAACTTACCATGAAATCGCAATGTTTGTTAGTGTTAAAATTAAATAGATACTATCCGAGCACATAAGTGTTGTTAATTAGAACAAATATAAAACAAAAAACGAGAAGGTTCGCAGCCGTCAATTGATACATTCTACAAAGGCATGTACTGGAATGTGTGACAGACTGACGGATCATTTCGCTTGTCCTCGTGTTTATTTGTGGAGCAAGATTAGATTACTGATGGTCATTACCCCCTGTGCACTCGTGATGCAGAACCTGTAGTGCAAGATTTAATAAAATGCTAATTTTAATTATTGCTTTTGTAGCGTTCGGCCTTTGTACATACTGGTTTACCCATATTAGGGTTATTAATCGAAATTTGAATGTTCTACCTGAGGCTCGAACTATGTTTCATATTCCATTACATGGATTTCTTGTATTGTTTGGAGTTTTCGTTCATAATCGTCATCATTTAAATTGCAAAATAAATCAAAAATATATTGTTAATGCCGAAAATTTATGTTAACAGGGTAGTAGATTGTCGACGATGTAATATTGTCTGTTTCTCTCGTAATTTTAAAGGAAATTCATGGGTCTTAAAGTACAGGTTCAATTGATAAAAACAAAGGAATACAGTTTTAATTCTTGTACCAAATAGGAATTGCAACATAGATGTAAAGAATAACCCGCGCAAATTTTCGAAAACTTCAGAGTTTGAAGTATGAAAACAAATTTTAAGCCAATTGATTGCACGTATTGCGTAGTGGTTTAAGCGGTCCCCTTGCCGGTTTCTACTGAGCTGAGTGTTGTGGGTTCCGATCCCCACACAGGATAACACTTTGTGTGATCCACAAGTTGTTGTTCTGAGACTGGGCGTTCTTTGTGTCCGTTTCATGTATGTATGAAAAGTTCCCCGTGACGCAGCACATATTCCTAATGCGGGAGTTGTTTGCAGATGTTACTAAAACTTAATTAATTAGGTTATGTAATTCAAACCGGTATTTATATTTCTGATTCGTGCTGTTCGGTATCACAGTACGCCCAAAACTGAAAAATCTTGTTAACAGAACTTCTAAAGAAACTAACGGGTGTCCGACTACCACAATAAGTTTGCAAACAAAATAAATAACATACGAATCATTTTTTTCATACTGCAATAATACTCATTACCTTTTAATCTACTATACGTAGATGAAAACGTACGTTGGTAATCAACAACAAAAACAAAAAAATGGTAAAAACAAATTGGTAAAAACAATGTGGCGTTACATTACAGACAGAAAAGCAGAGCGGGCGTGCAAGGCGCGCCTGCGCTGTCTTCCACTGTCCAGGTAAAGGGACCCGACGAAGAGAAGATCAAACAAATATTGGCCCGGACCGGGTACACGTTAGATGTCACCACAGGTCAGTTTTTTTTTTAATTTGCCTCCAATAGAAATACATTGGAAGTGAAGATGCTTGGAGGCGCGAGGAAGACAAAATGCTTAGTATAGTTGTTAAACCTTGCGATTTTGTACCACCTATGTGTTATGGTTTCAGTTTCCTTTAAATTGGTCGTTTTAATATTGAAATTGAAATAAAAGTGAATTATGAAGGCAAAACGCATCTTAGTGTTTTAATACCTTCGCTATGACAGATCTCCCATTAGCTATGTGCCTATTCGACTATTAGCTATGTGCCTATGGGTTACAAGATGGCGACGACTAACACACGTACTAAAAAGTCTAATCGTTTGTTTTTTGCAATAAACGTTCCAGAGAAATACGATATAATTTTTACAGATAATTTAATTTAGAGACCGAAATTGCAGGGTGCATGTAATCATCATGTATTTGTCTGCAGAGTCTGTTACACTTGTTCACACGCTCTACGGGGTGTCTTACACTGCTAGGTTTACAACATGGCGACTCGTACAACTCATGTATGATTCAGAACACGTCAGTGTCATTTCGCTTTCGTCACTGCTGTTGCAATTTCATACTGCAATTCATTGACATCATAGTACCTACTTATTAGAACGTTCGCATTTGATGAAAATACCTCACAAACACTATTCCGAACACTACGTCATATAGTAAAAGCTATTATACTCGTAGAGTGGATAGAAAAATTCGAACATAAAAGTTTTTAAATTTTAAATCTTACATTTGTTTTGAAACCGCACTCAATGAACACTGTCAAAGCAGAAAGAAACTTGACTTTCGATTCTAAATCTCTTCAATAAAATCATTCAGTACATCCTTTATAACCTAAATTCCTTTTAAACTTCAAAAGCGGTTATCAATTTAGACTGAATATTTTTATATATATATATTTTATTATCCCCAGTTGTGATTCGAGTTCTAAAACAAAGTAAAAAAAAATACTGCTGTAAAAAGAAAAATCTTCAATTTGTAATCAATTTGAGATAATTTTTACCCAACTGCCAAGGAGGAAGGGTTATGTTTTTCGCGCGTATCTTGTATGTCTATCCGTAAATTTCTTTATTACCTCGGTATTGCCCAAATGGTAAGGTAATGTTTTATCCTTCTCAAAAACCCAAGTGTCCTTAGATGGCTTTTTGAAAGAAAAACTCAAAATGTTGCTTTTTTGGAGTAAAATAGTAATAGGTTAATAAAAACAAAAATTAACCAAACCTATCGCGAGTAGGGTATCAAAATCAAGAAAATTGGAAGGGGATTATATATATATTATCCCGCCGTACATAATTTTCATGTATCTCTTAAGCTTTATCAAGCGTTTGCAATGTAAGCTCACAAAACATGTTTTTAACGACTTCAAATTACAATTCTCGGATTTCCTAGACTAATATGTATGTATTGTACACATAAACCCGCCTCTTGAATCACTCTCTCTCTCTCTCTCTCTCTCTCTCTCTCTCTCTCTATTGGTAAAAACCGCATTATAATCCGTTGCGTGGTTTAAAAAATCGAAGCGTACAAGAAAAAAGTGCCTTTATTGTATACTATGTAAAGATAAACAGGGTGTAAGGGGTGGTGTAACGACTACGATACTGTTGATAAGTGTATATATATCATCATTCTGAATCGAAAATCATTGGAATTTTTTGTGTTCATTGGGTGTTTTTTTATTATGTATAATAGTGTTAGTTTCTCTTTGGTTTTCCAATGTTCTCAATGCTTTTCTTCAGCATCCAGATGTTCTCCACAGAGTGCAGCAATGAGCATAAATTTTGTATATTGCCGTTAAGACATTCTTTATAAGTACTGTCACGAGGCGGAATTAAGATTGTTCGCGACTAATTATCCATGTCCAATCGGGCGCAGGTCAACGCAAGTACGGCGGGCCGCCGCCCGGGTGGGAAGGTGGCACGCCGGGCTCTGGCTGCGAGGTGTTCTGTGGCAAAATCCCTAAGGACATGTATGAAGACGAGCTTATCCCGCTGTTTGAGCGATGTGGTACCATCTGGGACCTACGCCTAATGATGGATCCAATGACGGGTACCAACCGCGGCTACGCCTTCGTGACGTTCACGACTCGTGAGGCCACACAACGTGCCGTCCAGGAGGTGAGACCACAACCGACTCCAGCCCCAAACACTTCATGTTCTCGTCTCTTATGCTCGGGTTGGAATACGCTGGTATTTGAGCATCGGAGACCTAAATGTTTGTTTGAGGGGGAGACCATAATACGTTGTTTGCTTCGATAGTTCAATATCTGCTTTGGTACCTTTTATTTTGGCTGAATTTAAGACAACCCTGAATGTCTCTTCCTGCATCAATGTTTTATATAAAATGTTCACTCCCTCGAACATTAGTGTACAATAAGCCGTAGAGTTGTTGAACAAATATTAGCTACAAAGATGAGTGCCAGCTGTACGAAGTGGGCCGCGGTCCCCCGCAGCCTTGAAGAGTTTGCAAATGTTGTGATAAATAAAGCGCCGAGGAGCAACTGTGGCACCTATCTTTGTGCGATTCATGGATGTTATCGAGCACATCTGTACCAATAGCCAACATTACAGCACAGTGTTATCGCAAGACTAAAACAGTGGTGCAACTGTTCATTATCAGCATATCACGATTGGTAACACAAAATTGTGTCAAAACTCTAAAGCTATACTCAGGATGATTTTAATATTGATTAAAATTGGTGTTATTAATTTGATGCAAAATTTATTCTAATTTGACGTCTACTTTCCAGGTGACTCGCCGAATGTTTAAGTATATTCCCTTGAAAGATTAACAGATCACTGCACTTAGTTGCCGCGAGTTTGGGGACTTGAGCCTGTGTCTTGCTATCCCTCAGGCGAAACCATCACGTCCCTTCTTGCGTCTTACTCTTATATTTGCCATATTCAAAAACAAAGAAAGAAAAGCTTGCAAGCTCATGATGGTTTCTCCTTTTGCAGTGGCAAGTCTCCAAACCTCGGCCTCACTTGCAAAACTACTAGAATTCATCAGAGTACTTTTGCAAGGTCCCAACCATTTGCCTGTCGAATAAATTCACAGTCACACTTGGGAGATTTAGATTTAAGCTTCTTCTATCATTTAAAAAGCATGTCATTAATATCCCGCTCACGGCGGCCATTTGCACCCGTTCACACTAAAATTAATCCCTTATACTAATATAATGTACAAAAGTGTAAAAAATGAGTGTTTCGTGGCAAGCAGCCGCCGTTCCATTAATGTGTAATCACTGAATTTGTGTAAATGTGCAATGTAACACCTGTAAACTGATCTCGCCTCGCTTGTCCTGAGATATCATCCCGTTCTATACTTTGCACCTCGTTCAATTTTAAGTTGCTTTAATTTTATTTTTTGTTACCATCACACTCGTACTCGCTTTTTTTATTTTCACTTCATCAAACGGTCCACTTACAGGGTTAACTTTGAATTGGCTTCGAAAAATTCTCCAACTGAGAATAAAATATATCTCAGGCTCTCCTCTTTGCTCCGTACAACACTGTCGGCTTATCATCCAAATTCAGTTAACTCATCACGATTGGCTCTAACCGTCATCAACTCAGGCGCGTCGGGGCCCGCCTGGCCGCCGGGGCCAAGTCCGGCCGAACGAATCCGTATCGACGCCCTTTTTCAAAATTTTTCCCTTGTTATTTTTCCCACAGCTCGATAACCATGAAATTAAAGCAGGGAAGACTCTGAGAATTAAGATTAGCGTACCGAATCTGCGACTTTTCGTCGGCAACATTCCCAAGTCTAAAGGCAAAGAGGAGATACTGGAAGAGTTTGGTAAATTAACAGGTAAAGTGTCACTCTCGAATGAATTAAGGAGTTTATAGAGTTGTCGGGTTGAGTGCGTGGGGCTTGGTGTGGACCGCTGAGGGTGCCCCCGCTTGCTCCCGCTTGATCCCTGCGTCCCTTCCCGCGCGATCTCCAGTCATAGTTGGGATGTTGGGCCCGGGCCAGCCGCCGCCCAGCGACCCGGCCCCGGCCAACGGCTATTCTCCCTCGAATTGTTCTTGCAGCTGAATGATTATGAAATTCGAAAGGGGAAAAAGATTGGCGTAACAGTTTCCTTTAACAATCACCGGTTATTCGTGGGGAATATCCCTAAGAATCGAGATCGGGACGATTTGTTTGAGGAGTTTACTAGGCACGCACGTAAGTCCTTGTCGAATTCATAATAAGTGCTACTCGGTTGTTATTTAGCGGCGCGCCTCGGGTCACCGTGACAGGCGCGGGCCAACGCGAAGGGCCGCGTGGGCCGGCCGGCCCCACGCCGCGTCACCGTGGCCTGCGGCGCGCTGGACCGACTTTACCTATTGGCCTCGCCTCGAGAATGCTCACTGGTCATGACTGGAGAACCTTGCTGTTGTTCTCTAGAATAGATTTTCTTCAATACCGTATATGTTCTCCTGGAATATCGTTTGATTTGCTTCATATTCTGTAGCGTTGAATGACTGAATTAGCGCGTCGGGCTCGAGGGAAAGCTTTGTTCATACCGATAGCGAGCTTGCGCCCCGCGGCCCTGCTCTTATCCATCTTGTGTGATTGCAGCTGGGCTCGTCGAAGTTATAATATATAGTTCGCCCGATGATAAGAAGAAAAATAGAGGATTTTGTTTTTTGGAATACGAGTCTCACAAAGCGGCGTCACTAGCTAAACGTAGACTTGGCACTGGTAGAATAAAGGTAAGTGCACACTACCTCCTAACATATAAAGAAAAAAAAACAACTTTCAAGTCTAGGTATTGGTAGTTTAACTATGAAGTTATTGTTGATTTGCGTTATTTTGTTTTTAAACCAACACATGAAATATCTCGAATCTGTTTATGTAGAGTATCGTACCAAATAAATATTTCTCATTTTATTTCCCATTGCAATATTAAGTGGCTAACAAAAGTGACATTTCCTTTTTATCGCGAATTAATTTACGTCAAAAGCCCCCTAAGCTCCACATCTTGACAAAAATAAGTCACATCTATGCTGTTACGATTGCCTAAGTTGGTTCGTAAAATCATGATATGTTTATTCTTCAACTTAAAAAATATATTTATTTTTCAATGAATCAACTATCACACTCTGTAAATCACATTGGTTACGATGATTGAAGTATAGTGAACAGGTAATGATATTCTAACTAATTTTGTTTAGGTATGGGGCTGTGATATAATAGTGGACTGGGCAGATCCTCAAGAGGAACCTGACGAGCAAACGATGAGTAAAGTAAGTAAACCACTTGGATATTGGATCGGTTCGGTCGATAAACAGCCGGCAACTCACTTGTAACTTGAGTTGCCGCCTATGTCATAAAAAACTGTTTTTTCAAAGTTTTTTGTAACTAATGTAATACTTGTCCAGGTGAAGGTGTTGTACGCACGGAACCTGACACAGGAGATAACAGAAGATGCACTAAAGGAAGAATTCGAGCGCTACGGGACCGTCGAGCGCGTCAAGAAAATTAAGGATTACGCGTTTGTTCACTTCGAGGACCGGGACTGTGCAGTCAAAGTGAGTACTTCATTATTTAGATTATATTACTCGGATACAAGATACCGAGCCAACGAATTATATTTATCGATCCCATAAAACCAAACGAATAAGGTTAAAAATAGTTTGAATTCTCGAAATAATTCCAAAATCTCTATTAACCATTATAAAGATACGATCACGAACACTGGCTAACTTTAAAAAAATATTGAAGGAGCATTTCCTAAATTATTGAGCGATGAGAGGACCTTGGTGTCCTTAAATCCTATTTGTGCCCACATCTTATTCCTGCTTTTAAATGTATCCTGTGTCACCTCGATGTCGATAAGGTCTCAAATTGTATAACTATTTTATATAACTAGTTTAACTTGCTTTGTGTAACTATCCCTAGATTATAAGATTCATTTACATGTATATAAACTGTTTATATAATTGTTCTTTTTTTCTTGTAAAATAAAGAGTTATCTATCTAACTATCTACCTAGAAATATTGATGACATTAGTAAAAAAACTTGATATAATTGAAAGAAATATATTTCTATCAATCGGTTAAATCAAAACTGATTTAGAATGGAGGTATTTACGTATATGTGAATATTATTAAGATTCCTAATAAAACTTGTTGCAGGCAATGCAAGAGTTGGATGGAAAAGAGATGGGAGGCGCTCGCCTGGAGGTGTCGCTGGCAAAACCGCCCTCCGACAAGAAGAAGAAGGAAGAGATATTGCGTGCTCGAGAGCGTCGCATGATGCAGATGATCCATGGACGTGGCGGGTAAGCACGATACCACTTTGTGTTTGTAGTTAGTCGCGCCCCGAGACACTCCGACTTTAACTTTGTCGCCAGGAGATTATGAAAATACTAGTAAAGGTGAACTTTATTTTGATCACTTTTTACTCCATGTACTTCATGTGGAGTTCTAATATTTTATTACTGGAATTCTTCGAGGGTTATCTAATGTTTTATATGATTATATGAAGGCTCTGTTCGATTATTAATATCCCATTTGATTGTTGAATGCTATTTATAAGTTGCTCAGTTTGAAATACTTTCTTCTTGGAGGCTAGGTTTAATTATTCAATCTGACTGCTTTATATGATCCTCCGTTTTTCCCTTTAAGTAATATGTATATTATTTTTATCCTGGATGAATGCTGCGTTCGATTATTTAAATCCTGTTAGAATGCTGCTAGGATCCACTTTTTCGTCCTGTTGGAATGCTCCGTTCAGTTATTTTCGATTTAAGTTGTCCTCTAGAAATGCTCCGTCCGATTATTATTTATACTCTGTGGAATTCTCCATAGAATTATTTTCATCCTTTTAAACTTCTTTTTCACCATATTTTAATCCATTTAACCATACTATTGGGTGAGGCTCGAGCAAACAAGTGGCCCGCACTGACTCTCGTTAGATTGCCGCAACTGTTTTCAAAATTAAGTATGTGTATGACGTCTAAGAGTCCTTCTTGCTTGAGTCTACTTGCTTTCTTGAACTAAAAATTGCTTGCAAAATTTTATTCTTGGAATTAGATTATGGCGTGGAGCGAGAAGTATAAGGAATGTTTAATTTCAAGTTATTATTTTTGTATTTATTTCACTTAGATATTTCGAAATGCCTTATTGTATTTAATCTCCTGGTTGCAAATGCAGATTAGTTGTAGTAGTAGTGTAGCAACTAGTACTAAATGAGTTGATTGCTCTCGGGGCTTGCTTTTGAAAACATGAAAATGTTCTGCTCTGGAAGGTGGGTCTTTTTACGACCAAAAACCCTTTAGAGGAGACCATAGATTGCACTATTTGTTAACGATGTTTATTGAAAATAAAAGTTTGCAAACACATTGGCTGTCTGATGGATGCTCCTAGCTACCTAGCTATGTCTTTATAATTTAGGTGGTGTATAATATTTGTAGCAGAATATATTAGAACCAGCTGTGAAAAAACGACTGTAGTCTGAAAAAAAGACTGCTGTAGTCTCTTTGTTTAAAAAGAGAAAATGAATGTCTCCATGTGGATAGCCAGAGAGCCAATATCCGTCCCGATAGCAAATGTGTTATAAATTCCATTATACGTTTAAAGATATTAAATTCACTTCCTAGATTTAAGATTTGGTTAAGATACGATACTAAATTGTTTACGTGTACCTACATAAATATTAAACTTGTCTTACGAATTGTAAGTTTAAATTCTTGTAAAGAATAATGCCCAGTAAACTTTCAAGCCTGAATGTTGCTTTTCGTGTGGAAAAGTGAATGTTGTTGGAAGTGAATGATTTCGGCTCATAACAACTCATTTTTCAGACTAGATAGTGAGCTCAGAACAAGAGTCCAATTAATCCGGTTGTTTGTAAAAATAACGTGTTAAAATTAACGTTTCTCAGTAGAAAAAGGCAGAATCGTTTAGTAGCTCGAAACATTTCGCAATTTCTAGACATGCGAATACTTATTGATATATTGAACAAAATGACGATTATTAAGTCTTGTTTATTATATCCTACTATATTTTAAAGTAACAAGATTTAAGTACTTTATGTTCAAGATCTTGTCATTTCTGTTTTGAGAAATGAGTCTTGTTCGATGGGTTGGTTTGGAAGGTTGGTTGTGAGTGCAGTTTGTGAGTTTACTGGAGGCTTGCTAGGCACGTTCACAATGTCTGTAACGTGGTGTTAACTGTCAGATTCGATTGGTGCAGCTGCTCGCCGGTACTGCGCGGCCGCACGCCTCAGCCCCAGCCGCGCCCGCCGCAGGCGCGCGGTGACTACGGTCAGTATGCACCACACTACACACCACACACATACCACACACTGCCACACGTACAAACACGACAGATACTGTCACATGTGAACATGGCGGGGTTGGTGGACGCTAGGTGGTGGGCGATTCTTAATTTATATAAATAATTCTGTAACACTATTGTTGTTATTTCTAAAGCTAGAACTTTGTACATTGTAATCAATGTATCAGGATCTTTGCAATACCTGTTTTTAATTTAAAGACAAACTCAGACCGTAAACATAACTACCCAGCGTCTAGCCTTACCTCTAAAATAATACAACTCGACAAGATACGAGAAGGTGAAGGGAACTCGTTTTTAAACGAACGCTTGTAACATTAATCATTACATATTACCATGAAACGCATATTACTGTATTTGTAACTGACGACTCTCTCCCTCCGCCTTTCTCCTCGTTTTCCCTCACACACACACACACACAGATGTGAACACGGTGTGGTCTCCACGCGCACACTCGCACATTCCGCTACTGTTCCTTACTAACAAGATGGCCGCTACTATACACCTCCCCACACGGGATTTCCCGCGCCAGTGTTGCCATTAGTTTTCTTATATTGCCAGTGTAAAATATTTGTAGAGGTTTGGGAGTTTTTTTAGTGTATCGTTACGGCCTCAGTACATGTTTCATTAACGCTACTGTCTAGGCTAGTTATTAATGACAGCTAGGAATAGGTTCCATGCATGATTTCGATATCGTTTTAAAATCTATCGAAGACCATTCGAGGGCATATACACATCGTCCATTGAAATTGTAATAACAATATTAACAGAGTGCATGCTACAAAATAATGAAATCGTTATAGATGTTCGGATATTAAATATACAACCGCACATGATTTGGGTCGTTATCAAAATATTCTTTACCGAAATTTTTAAATGTTTATTCATCAGACTAGTAATGGACTTGAACAATTAGACGTTTGACGATGCATGTTGTTTCCGTGTCGATCTGTGAAGACGCTTCCGTCGGTCCGTACCGAGGTGTGATCGCTGGAGGAGCGGAGGTGTTGGATTTAACCCGTGTGCTGTACCATCCTTACCTGTACTTGTACCCCGTGTAAAGTGACAAGAGCATGTGTTTACTTGTAATCTTTTCCCGGTACGAGTGTCGTGGAGGCTCGCATTTCGCCAGCCGACATCGGTAGCTTGTAAGTTAGAGTTAGTTTAGCTTAGCCTCTAAAAGGCCTGTGTTGTGTGTTTATAGATTATGATTACGACTATTACGGGTACGGTGATTACCGAGGTGGCTACAATGAGCCATTTTACCGGTACGATGAGTTCTATTTTGATTACGCGGGGCCACCGCAACCGTCCGCCGTCCGCCAGCCTACCAACAGACCGCAACCGGTGGGTCCCCACACACACTCACTAATGTATCACTCTTAATTACTAGTCACTAGTCGCTGTACTCATTGTTCTTTCGATTTTGATTTGCCAAATTTTTATCATCTACTGTTTTTATTTTTTTTATTTTGTTGTTTAATCCCATCCTTGAACGGAGTTAGTGACTCGGTAAAGACGGTAGTGTGTAGGCCTGACGGTGGTGATCGCACTGCGGCGGGCGTGCCTCGGACTTGTCACTGATTGCCGGGAAAAGTGTTAGTGGGCGCGCGGGGTGGCTAGTCGGCCGATCTCACCATCAGGTCTATATGACTGACGCCACTCCGACTAACATGCCCGTCTATCATCTGTACATGTTGATTTCATTTGCCATTTGACACTAGCACCGCTTGAGTCATTCCGCTGCGCTTGTCACCCCATGTAGTGCTTTGCTTCGCTTGATCATTAACTGATAACACGCTATCGCTTTGCCACCCCGCACACATCCCCGTAGGCGAGGAAAGTAGCGACCCCCGATGCTTGGAACGCCCGAGTAATGTTGTATTTGTCGTTGTTGTAACGAGGTAGAGAATATGTTGAGAAGACTTACTGACCCGCTTGGTAAATGCCTCACTCAGGACGACGAGCTCGGGCTAGGGCCCAACTCGCTTTACTACGATCTAACCGGAGGCATTCAGGTACCGCCGACAGGCGCTCACTTTATTCCAAATTATTAATGTTGTATCGATGTTAGATTTGATTTTTACTATTCGACTATTTAGATTTGTCGTAGATATCGTATGTAAAGTAAATTTAAGTATGAAACGCCGTGTAGGATATTCGTAGAAATATCGTGGATAGAATGCGTTTATTAGTTGGATGTGATAGAATGCTTTAAGTACCTGACTGTTTCATTATTACTCGTGTAATCAACGTGTAAAGACATTGAATAGTTATTCTGTGGCGTTCCGCGGATTACCCGTAACAATGCTTATGTTTGTACTAACAACGATAATGTGAGATCATCACATTTTCTCTCGATTGCCACAAACTTATATGGATATATCATAACTCTTGAGGAGGATGTTCAAATGTTTGCTCGAACATTGGTTAATGTAAAACAAACATTGGACATCTTCATCGAGTGCTCTATTCATAGTGTAATTTTATTTGGTATGTTGAAAATAATTTGAAATATCGATAGTGATTTTTTTGCAGCATGTATAGTTATGTATTTCAACAATTACACATTCATTTTAAAATGTTGGACTTTGTATATAATAAGAATGGATATGTGATTGTTGTATTAGTAATACATTTTTGACCGACTTCTGGTAAAATTGATCTGAGCGCATTATCAAGATTTCAAAACTTGCATATATTTTACGTTCATTGCATGTCAGTAGTACCAGTTCATGTAGTTCTTATAGAGATATATTAAACTAATGCGTTTGGTTTGAATTCAAATTAATGAAAAATATTGAATTGAACCAGAAATCGGTCAGATCTGTAGCACTGACTCTTTTAATTTATCTCATGTTTTGAAAAGAAGTTGTGAAAGATACAGTGCTACGGAGCTATATCACGTCCTTTTTTGTTGCACTTAAATAATGCAACAGGACGGACCTATTATTTTTTAACCAAAACTTTTGCCAAAGGATTTTTTCTCCGAACTATTGTAGATTTGTTCTCGTCATCACTGGAATTTCCAATCTATAAAGGTCAGGACCAATTGTCTACGTTTGTAGACAATTGGTCGTTCTGTTTACAACAACCAACCAGTATTTGGTATAATTACGAAACTGTTAATTTGGAAATTCTGGTCATTTATTTAGTAGATGCTTCAGTTTGACTGATGGATGTCGCCTTGCACAATCTGCCAATTGATATAAAATAAATACGAGATATCGTCACTTTAGCTACTAAGAATACTCGTTACCTTTCAAAGACAGCAATTAAGGTATAAAGAGAAACTAATCACTTTTGTTCTAGTGATCTTTTTTTTCGAAAATTAAGAAGTATGTACGTCATTGTACTATGCCAAACGTTGTTCTAAATTCAAACGATCTGAAATATTCACTATTGCCGATGGAGTTAAGCAAGACACCGACGCATATCATCTCGTCTTTATCGTATATCAAAGGTGAGAGTAACGGAGATGAATCCTAGTGGCACCGTTAGTGGGCCGTAATGACGTATGTACGTGGTGGTTCGGTTAGGCTGGGTCATGTGGGACGGGCGGTCGATGGGCGCGTCGCGCGGCGGCGGCGCCGGCGTCCGCGGCTGGGGCCCGTGGTGGTGCGCGCCGCGCCGCGCGTGGCCGCCGCACGCCCAGCGCCATGCGTGGCAATCCCCGCGCCAAGCCAAGTTTACCAGGTCAGTCGAACACGCACACACACGCACACACATGTAACTGTCGAGAGCTCGTCGTGCATATTCGAAGCGATAACTTCTTTCCCTACGTTACATATTGTATAACATATGTGACCGAGGTCAATAGATTTAGATATTTCATTCACTTGTAACTTCCTAAGCATACTAAAACACTAAAAATGCGCTCGCACCGCTGCATGACGGCGGTTGGTTTGGTTTGTGACTTAATTTCGAACGTCAAGAGAAATTTGTTTAAGTAATATATTGCTCTTATAACTTTTATTATTTTGCAAAAATAGAGGAAACTAAATGAAAAATCTCGCGATAAAGTAGGAACAATACAGATATCCTATAAAACAGTACACTTGATTGCCATTTTGAGACTTATTCATCACATAAGTAATTTTATTTATTTATAACTTTTTGTACAAGTACATGCATCGGCGGACTTAATGCCTAAGGCATTCTCTGCCAGTCGACCGATGCCGACTCGAAGTAATGCTTTTGCACTCGGTATTAAAATTTAATTATTCATATTTGACAATTATTTTGAAGATCAAGATGGCAGCTCATTTACTTTATATCAGACACAAGAAAATGTTTACTAAAGTACTAGCATTTACCAGTTATCCATAATGTAGGATAAACTGCATGGGATTGGATTTTGACAAAGATTGTGAAAGGCTGCCAACAATTGAAGTACTAAAAATGATCAGTTTCTGGATATCTTAACTCCAGCTCCAGCAACTCATATCACACCCAAAATAATACTGTACACATCTCACCGCTACTGGTTGAGGCTTAAATGGAGACTCACCATGTATCACCTCTATCCTTAATTCAAATTCCATAAGACCCTTCGTATCAAATGTGTAGTCGTAGAGCAAAATTCTAAATTTCGAACAAAGACATTGGACTCTTCTCTCGGTCGATTGTACGAATATCACGATCCTGAAACCTTTTCCTTTTATTTCAGCGTGTTTGATGGTTTGCGTGTAATCTGGATTAATGCATTGTATATCGGTAACTATCCTCCTCCTATGTCCTTAGTCATAGGGCTACCACAAACTTGCCTAAATTACACCGCTCGATCGAGTGACGAGTCCATTGTTTCCTTATTTAAGTTTGTGGGAGACCCTTAGGTTCCTACTTCCTTAGTGACCCTGTGCATTTAGATGTCTCCAAATAGGGAATCTTTACCGCAGTTTTATTTGCCATACAACACTGTTGTTCCCGTGGTTCTGAGGATGTTCAGCGTCGTATATAATCATAAATGAAGACTGAAAATTTTATTGAACGGGTCAATTAATAATAACAACGGTCATCTTTTTCCAAAGTTTGTATTTCAGTAACAAGACTGCTGATAAACATCCTTATATATTTTTAAATTACACCCATTTTTTTTAAACAAATGATCGTGCTCACCCCGTAATAATGTCTTGGGTAGAAATTAAGCCCAAGAATTTGGCTTGATCTATCTTACGATTCCCTATTTGGTTGCTCTCTTACTTTATATCTTCAACCATTGTGTAATAATATAGTTTGTTCTTTGAATGATAGTCAAATATTTGTGTAGCAGTGCAGTGAGTTGGGATTGGTTGTGCAGGTAAACGTAAACACGACGGGGGCCACCAGAACGTCGGGGGGGAGTGCAAGCGGCGGGTGGGCGCGGGCGGGGTGGGCGCGGGGTGGGGCGGCGGCGCGCTGGCGCAGCAGCCGCTGGGCAGCTAGCGCGGGCCGGGAAGGGACAGCGGGCAGGGGCAGTGGGAGCGGGTAGAGCGCGGGCGCGCGGCCGGCCCCCGCGCCGGAGACACTACAAGCTGCGCGGGGGAACAGCCGGCCGCAAGCGCGCGCCCTGAGGGTACCTTCACGTCCGGTCCTCGCTGCGTGCCGAGAGGATCGCTCTACTTTTTTCTATATATGTGTTTTTTATTTGATTTTCGAGTTTTCGATTTTGTATCGCATCGATCCGTAAAAATCTTAAAGTAGGACGTTATGAAATGTTTCGATTGTAAGTTTCCCGTTATGCTTATGTTTTTCACTTAGCCGTATATATTTAATATATACTTTATTTGAGGGGAGCGTGCGGCCGCGGTTGCCTGTTTGCGACCGTGCGCTCGGGTCGCGGACCCGTCGACTGTCTGTTTTTTTTAATACATGTTATTCGATATATTTTATTCCTGTGAACGCATTTTGCGATGTGATGTGTATTTTAGCAGTAATTATTATATTGTAAGGAGTTTGACTGTTGTTTTTTGACATACTTACAACTTAGGATACTTGAATGAATTTAATCGGATGAAATGAGCTCTTGACTAGCGATTACGGCTGAAATAAAACCACCCCCTGTACTCGAACATTTCCCGACTGTGTTCCTGCTTTAGTTTTTTTGCTTTATTTTTATTACATATTTCCCTTAAATACATTAGTGTGAGGCAGTAGTATTGTAAAGTTCAGGATTTCTGTAATGTTTATTATTGCTGTACTAAACGTTTTTTTTTGTATTCGACCACATAGCATGTCCATACTGTTAGAACTCTGACTTGTATCAATCTTGTATCAGTTTAATGTGGAATAAATTTGCAAAACTGTGTTTGCCTTATTATAATATTTTGGTTTTTTTTTATCATTCCTACCTATGTACTTAGTTAGATTTAAAGCATATTGAAACCTGTGCAATGTGCATAAAATACACTAAGTATTAAAAAGTGGAAAATAGTTTTCCGTTGACGATCGAATTCATTCTATATCATTTATTTCCCCCAGGAGCAAATATCCGCATCTAAAGTTTTCTGCTAAGTAGGTAGTAAAATCTAACATAATGACTAATGAATAAGATGGTATTATTGGGTACTATCCCATTGCCTTTATAGCGCTTTTCCTGTGTACCCCTGGCTGATGAAGATATTAACCGCTGTACCTCTGGCCACGAAACCCGACAAAATTGAACATGCCATATTGAAGCAGTAACACTCCCACTCGGTAGTGTAAGTTAGTATTGTACCAAGTACTCGAACCTAAATAGGCTGTTCCACTAGTCCCTACCAGCTGAACCTGCCGATTTTGTGATTAAGTACAGTCTGCAATAAAATCGTGCTAATGAAAAATATAATTATTTAAAGATTATGAAAAATTATAGTTATTATAATTTGCGAATACTATTATCTCAATTAATTAATAATTCTTATGATGAAATAATAATAATTTAACGTAACTCCAAACAATCTAACATTAATGTTGGCAGACACTAGCTGCATTTGTATATCTTGTATGACAGTCCCGGATCCCGGATTATATATTTTCGTTCCCTTTTCTTTTGTTGATTGCAATGTATTTGTTTCTTAGAACACCATTTGCATATTTATGCAATTTACTTAATAGTTGTAGCTAATTTAAATGTGCGGAGCGCTTATTGTTTGTTGTGTGTTTGTTGGTGTATTCAAAACAAAGTCAGACTTTCCATTGTTTCTGAAATTCTTTATTTTTAAGCCACCATTAATCAAAATACTGCATGAATTTTGCCATGCCAAAATCTTCAATGATGTTAGATTTTATATAAGACCATCCATCTGTCACCTGGTCCACAGGTAAAAGTCGAGGCAAAAATTCGTGTCCCTTAATTTTTTTTTTTATGAAAAGCAATTTTTATTGAAACTGTACACCAATACGTTAAGATTTTATTAGTAGGGATAAGTGGAAATGAAATTCCACTCATTACAACAAGTGACGGTGTAGTGGGGAAGAGTGGAAAGAAATCCACTTGTTCCCACCAAGAGGGATAGCTGGTACGGACTAGTGGAACAGCCCACCTTTATAGGTATTCATACATGTCTTTTGAAACCTACTCTACTGTCAATTTTCAAAGCATTAGTGACAGTTGCAGTGTCAGTCTGAGTAACTTTACACGTTTTCGGCGAGTAAAAAGGTAGATAGGAATTATAAAGTGGAAATGTGTGGATAGGAGGTTACGTCCACCGCGGCGTCTACCGCGAGAGGTCATACTGAGTAAACCCACGGTAACTGCGTCTTGCTACGCTAAATCGTTTTAGTTAAAGTAGGTACCTACCTATATAAATTTGTCATTCGTAGAATTGGGACGTATATTTTCAGATTTAGGTACCTACTTAGGTACGAGTACATATCGTCGTTTGGAAGATAGAAATAAGGGATCAAAGGCTAAAGGTAGGCTTTCGAAGCAAGCGTCACTGACGCGGCGTTTATGGAGTTACCGACGCCGCGTTAGGACGGGTGTCAGTGACGCCATGGTGACTGCATGGCAACGACAGACGTCAATCAGTCGTATCGTCTTTGCCGCGCCCACCTCTCGATAAGTCTTCAAAGTATTTCATTATGGATCTACTTAAACTGATTATAGAAGAGGAAGAAGATGATGACCTTTTACTTCGGTGTTACTCATTCGATTTTTTTCAGACCATATCTTGTCTTTAATTCGCGAATTTTGCCGCAGCAATGGATGCCAAGACACCAGTGTTATTATTATTATTTCATCTTCTTCTGTAAACGTGTCAGTAGATGCCATTTTATAGAAATTAACCTCAAAATACACGTGGGCGTGGCGACTACACTACGAACATAGCGCGGCAGTGACGTCTGGCGTCGAACGTCAGTTGCAAAGTGCATTAATCAGCTGCTTTGTCGTGACGTCACTAACGCGGTGCCACTGACGCTTGCTTCAAAACCCTTCCTCAAAGGTCACACAAGCATAAAGTCAAAACTCCTAGAAACTCAAATACGCACAAAGTCAAACGGTTCGGGCGATGAACGTCAGAAACGCAAAAGGACAGATTAACGAATTATCGGAAACGCATAATGCCAGGTTTTTTGAGCGACAGGTGACAGGTGACAATTTGTCGTGAAAAACTTGTCAAATCTGCTTTATAAAACAGAAAATTGTCATGACATATTGACATATTTGTAGAATTGTCCGACAATTCTGACAGGAACGTTACCCTCTGTCGCTAAATCATATTCTGAATTTTGAAGGAGTAAGAAAGTGTTTATAAAATCGAACCCGAGACCTCAGCACAGTAGTCGCATACGCTATCACTGCGCTACCGAGGCACTCGTAGAATATTTCATACATACCTACACAATATAATACATTTCTAATTGATAACTCCTTTATTTAAAGTTGGGTAACGGTCTAAACAAATTACGAATTGATGACGTATAAACTAGTTAAAATATACTAAACCTTACCATGGTCCTTTTGCGCCAATTTTGCCATGTAGTGTCGCGAAGGTATTTCCAGTCTTTGTTAAAAATACCTAATGCTGTTATTTGTTCGACTATTTCCTTCTATTTTTTTATTTTTGTATCGTGGGTCAATTCGTCACTAAACTTCCCAAAGAGTATATACACGGTGATTTTGAAAGCGTTTTGGAAAAGAAAATTTTGAGTTATTTATCAGTAACAGAAGCTATATATAACGTTAATTTAATAAAATATATATATATTTTTATCATCAAAGTCGATATTCATATCGATTACAGAGAAAAGGTGAGAACCAGTAGTAGGGCTTTTCAATCGCAAGTAGGTAAATACTACGAATAGAAATACTATACTCACGCGCAAGGTCAAGGACGTTTTAATTATTATTGTGTAGTGTAGTGTAGTGCGTGCATACCTGGACAATGAGTTTAGTGATCGGTGGATAGGTCGAGGAGGGCCAGTGCCTTGGCCACGCAGAAGCCCGGACTTAACGCCCCTGGATTTTTTCTTATGGTCGGAAATAAAAATACTTGTTTATACACGGGAATATGAAAGCCGTGATAATTTACGCATTGCGATAGTGGACGCTTTTGATAAAGTGAAAAGTGATAGAGACACATTAAGAAAATTAAAAAACAATTGCATTAAACGTGGACGTTTGTGTATTGAATGCAGCGGACTCCATTTTGAGCAGTTGCTTCGATACAGAGAAGTGTAAATAGTGTAAATAGGTATGTAAGTTAATTATTCTGTAGATAGCTCCGATTTTTTAAATACGCTTGAAATATTTATACCTACAGTCCGTTGATAAATTGATTTGTTGTGAAAAGAACAATCATGGTTAATAATCGAAAAGAAGTTTAAATAAAATAGGTATTTCCGACGGTCCTAAGCCCGTGTAAAGTATGAAGGACAAATTGGAGTCGATCTACGTAAGTACTCGCTAGCTCGCGCCTGTAGGTATACTTTTATCAGCTGCTGTTAGCGTCAGCGGTGCGCAGCGGCCGCCGAAACGCCCACGGACGTGTTTCATTCATATAAGATAATGAATGAATGATCAGTCCATTACTACTTTCCAAGTCGATCGAGTAAAAATGAATATTAAAAGTCGCAAAATGACAGTTTCGCGTAATGACACATACGCTTATTGGCAGTTTCGAATGATGACGAATTAAATAAAAATCATCTTATTATGATTATCACAAAATTTCTTGTGTCAGTATAAATCTATAAGTATCAAAAAATAATACGAAAACGAAATTGTAACTGGTTTTTTATGCCACTGAGGCAGCAAACAATGTAAATTGATGACCGCAGTCTATGGATGCTTGCAACACCAAGGGTTTTACTCGCGCATTACACGAAATAAAAAAGTAGGGGAGCGTGAGAGGCCTCCAGGATTGACGTTCACCATACGAATGTAGATCTGTTACTTCATGCCAGTATTATGTGTCAGGGTAGTACATGTTGGCTGATGGCATAGAATTCAGCGGGCTCTACCACCAAAGTACACCAATATAAAGTTTACGCTCCGCCACGATATCGACGCCACTATACCGAAACCCCTGGCGGTTACCCTACTCGAACATTGTATGAGATAACTTTATTTTCATATTTCGTAAAATTTTGATCTATAGCTTATAATTCTTATTTGATAAATTTTGTCAAATTTAGTCTTCAATTGACAAAAAGAATTACATCTCTAACTTAAGTAATTGCTAAGATCTCCGTGGCCGCGCAATCCTTCACGTTTCGTTCGCGCGGCCAACTTAAAACCCCTTACTTAGTAACTACGTCTGTCTTATATACTAGTGTATAAGTTTCAGGGCTAATTCATCAAGATCAATTGGAGAACTCGAACTGGTACACTCGTAACACTCAGATCAGACGTTTTCCGTATCTGTCATATTGCGAACTGTCATTTTGCTAATCTGTCATATCTCGAACCTGTCATTTTGCGTTTCTGACGTTCATCGCCCAAACCAATCAAACACGAAGTCAATAGTCAAACACGTCTAAGTCAAACACGCACAGTTAAAGAAGCAGGCAAAAAAATCAGGCATAAAAAGTATTAATTACCACAATCGTACTTTTCTTAACTTGCCTGAAAATATAAAATATAAAAATTTGAACTTTTCTAAAAATAATCTAATTTTAAATCACATACAACAGTTTAACATAGTCGGTATACGGGCGAAAGTTTTACGTGACAACGACTATGTCTGTCTCTCTCGCTCTTAGGCGGGCTAACCATGCCCGATTGGAAGGGACGCGTGCCTCTCACTCGCTCTCATTGTGAGCGCATAACGTGAGCGGAGCGTAACGCAGTTTCTTGAAGTGTCACCCGGCAAACCAATTTATAAGACGTTGTCACGTCAATATCAAATCTCATCAATTTCGCATGGGTATATTGGCCGTTCATGAGTTTAACATTTGGCATTCTTGACAATATACCTACGTGTTGACATTTTGCGAAAACTTACATCCACTTGTCATTTTGAGTGTTTGACCTAATGCGTATTTGACCAATAATGTATGATTCGAAATAAGCTGAAAATGAAAAGCTGTGTTTGGAATAGAATGTGCTTTAAATAAAACCAGTTGTTACGTTAAAGTGGTGTAATCAAGTATTTGGTGGTGCTGGCTGGCCGGTGCTGGGACGGCGCGAGGCGCGTCGTCATACGGTGTCAGGGTGCGGCGGGGGCGGTGCTGCCAGGCGGGCAGCGGGCGCCCGGCCAGCGCGGGGAGGGGGACGTGGGGGCGGTGGCGGACGTCGAGCGCGCCGTGCGCTTCGTGACCTGCGCGCACGCCGCACCCACCACGCGCCCAACGCCGCCGCGCCACTGCCCCCGCCGCACACCGCCCACCACCACGCCGTACTGCTAGACCCACCGCCCACGGACACCGACCCGCCTATGAATACGTCACGCCTATAACCTGCTCCTTTGACTGCCGAGATCGGGAGGATCGACCCCTTGAGCTACGAGCTTTAGGATTAACGTTGCCATTCTAAAAGTTAAACATTTTAATACACGTAGTAGGAAAGTGAGTTCCTTGGATGAATAGAAAATTACAGTAAGGGCTACAGCATACAATTTGGATGAGAAAAACGCACTGGAAACCTTTATTTCTGTATGTTTATGTACTTATATAGATTTATTTTCTCATATATCCTACAGACTATATAGGGTACTTTTTATACCTACTAGTCTATAGGTAAACAAGTACAGAACAAAAAATTCTTATTCAAAGTTTTAAACACTTAAAAATGGCAACTTCAATCCAATTCAATCTTTTGAAGATCAATCAAATGGAGTCGACCTCCATGTTTGTTGCTTGGAAACTTTACAATATTCAAAGATACTTTATGTACACAAGTTTTTGGTTTAATATAAAGTTACAGTAATGACTTAAAAATTTCACGTAAGCACAGAGGCATAATAAGTCTATGGCTCAATTCCAAAAAACGATAAATATTCAAAGTATCACTTTAGATACTAATTTCATTTTTACATATGTAAGTATTATTAGCGAATATTGTAAAGCTTAATTAGTAAATGTTTATGTTTCATTTTAGGTAAATGTTTTAAATTTGATGTTTAGGTAGACATTTTTACAACATGCAACATTAAAAGTTTTATATTAGATTTTTAAAGGAAGCAGAGATTGATGTGTGGTGAAGCGAAGAATCTATTAATGGCCTCAAAACTTAATACCGTAATTTTTACGCTTTTTTTCAAGCATTTGAAGGCAATTAATCATAATGTAATTTTAGGCACAGCACATGACAAGCAGAAGCATTGCAAGGCAGAAGAAATTAAAGTCTACGAATAGGTATATTGTGTTACTTCTAGTTATTTTAAAATAACATTTAAAACTACAAAACCCGTTTTATTAAATCGCTAGGAACTGGGTGCCAGTTGAATTTTTGCAAAATCCTAGCTTCTAGCCTTCGGAAACCCCTTGTAAATTTAAAACAATAGCATCACAGCAGACAAAAACTGAAACTGATACTCAAGAAAAACCTGTCTGCCCAAATGACCGAAGCAATGGCAATGGTAAGAACAGGAGACAGGGTGAAGGAGTAGTGTGAGGAAAATGTGGTTAAAGGTTGGATGGCGTGGCTGGTAATATAGACTCACGTGCGCAGCGCCCGGTCAGTGCGGGGCGGCGAGCACAAGCGAGAGGGCGACCAGAGCGGCGCGCGCCGCGGCCCGCGTAGACGCCGCGCCGCCTGCGCACACCGCCGCGTCAGACCCACGGGGCCCAGGGCGGCCTTCACGGGGCCCAACTACACTAACTGATGGAACTCGGGGGTTCACCAAAACTGCATTCCAATTTTGAATACCTCATACCCATTTTACATTTATATTTAAAGATTTTGAAATAGAGATAATTGATTGTAAAATTTTACGTTAAAAATAAATTCCATCAGATAATGTATCATCAAAAAGAGTTGATAAGGTACCCCAGGCCCCATAGTGCGATGACTCAATGCAAGCTTTGTCCCATCGGAGTAACAACGTATTCAATTGTAAATGTAACAATTTATCAAGCGCAAACGATTCAAATACACAACAAAAATTTTGGACTTAGGACAGAACAGAGATGCAACTCTCCTGAGTCATCACAGTATTAAAGAAACAACAACAAAAAAAGAATTAAATGAAATTAAATTTATGAATGCAGAAATGAATTAACATGAGAAACATTTAGATTCAAATTACGCTAGGGGTAGACTTGGTTACGTAAATGAAAAAGTCTGTAATCTTTGCAACACATTCGATATATTCTGCTAATTCTAACAATAATTATGATTTATGTTTTGAAACGTTTGTCTAAATATCTATTATCCTACAGTACACATTATAACATCCTCAGAGACAAAGATTGCATTGAACCATCACTGGTTTATACTGAGAAAGTACAGTGAACATAACATTATTCGTATTTGTTTATAGTTATTAGTTAACAGTGCTACAGTGTTTAGAATACAATATTTTACAACGAATTAGAAGATAAAAGCGAGAGTAAGCAGGTATTGGACGACAAGCTCACATCGCGACATTGTATCTTGTAGGTATTGTCTGTCAACATACAGGGTGTCGGCTGTCGAGAACATTTAGATATACCTACCTACTTTTAAAAGTAATTCTAAAATTGCCGAAATAAATAGTATTTTTCAATAACTTTTTTATGTAAATATTCACGCGTGACTTCAAGGAGAACGTATATTGTTAAAACAGTTACAGTTAGTGAAAAATTCAAAAGACCAAACTCGATGATCAATCATCGAGTTTGGTCTTAGGTCCGAAATTTTATCACCTTATTTGAAGTTCGTGGCACGAATTCTTTTTTAATTTTTTTAAACGTTCCTTGAGGATAATTAGGCCTGGTCACTGAAAGGTGACACAGGGCTTTAAATTAATGTAAGTTGGAAACTTCATGATACACACTTTTAAAGGAGAAGTAAAAGCATGAGTTGTATAGGAAACTAGCCAAAGAGAGCTAGTTTTACTTATTGCATAAAAATACGTGTTTAAATCTATTAACATTTACTAGTCATTTGCTGTTAGTAACACAATAATATTAAATGTAATTTATTCATCGTTATTTTAATTGATTAAAATCATAATAAATGATATTTCACGGATAACTTTGGCGACAACCTGTATGCCTACAAAGCAAGGTAAGCGTATTCAATACGATCCAGTCAGTAAGTCCACATACTGCTTACTCCGTAAATGTTCTCAACAAGCTACAATATTATAGTTATAATTTATATAGTCTTTATTAATTATATTCCTAGTATGCGACGACAAAATGCAACGGTGTAGATACATTTATATTTAAGTGGAAATGCAAAGTGCGGTATAGTGCCAATCGTAATATACAGTGTCTTTAAATTAATTAAAAATTTGGAAAAAAGTTTAACTTATTGTTTATTGACTTAGCGGTATTCTAAATTTAAACAGAAGACATAACGTTTTGTTTGTCGACCTATTTAAGACACCTAAAAGAGAAAGACGTTAACTCTTCGATATGTAGATAGATAGAGAAACACTACTTTAAAAATCGAATACTTTCATGTTCTTTCGTCAGCGTTCGGGTAAAGTCGAACGCCGTGTCGGCGGAATATTTTAAAGAGATGAAAAATCATTGAGATAAGATATTGATTTGTCTTTGAATTACCAGTCTTGAAATTTAATTGGATAATATTATTTTTCTACGGGTAACCTTTTTTTTAAATGCTTAATATGTCGAGTGTGTCTTATCTCAATGATTCGATCCTTTTTAATAAGGGTTTTTATTTCATCGTATCATATTCAATCAGGAATTTTTATTTCATGACCGCAATTAAACAAACTCATCTGAAGGCTCCTATGTTGGTATAATTTTGACGGTTATCGAAAAACATTTTCAAAATGGTAGTTTATTTGCAAAAGTAATCAAATAGGTTCGTTTATCGCAGTTTAGAGCGGGGTTGATATACGATACGATCGAAGGTCGTACTTAGGTGCGAGGGTTAGGTGTTAGAAGCTCGTGCATACTAACAGTGGTCGGGCTTGCGCGCGGGCATGAGCGCGCAGTGCTGCAGGCCGGAGCAGGCGGCGGCGGGCGGCAGGCAGGCCGCGCCGCACGCGGGCCCGTCGGCGCCGCACACCGCGCCGTCCGCGCCCGAGCGCTCCGCCAGCGTCACCTCCGTCCACACGGCGCGCCACCCGCCCGCGCCCACTGACTTATCCGCTATTATAAACCTGGGACAAGTGGATTCATGCATATATTAACTACATGTTCTAGTAAGTATAAGTTACAAAAAACTTAGTTTTTTGAAGTAACTTCTTTAGGTGCGTTGGGCATTTTTGAGCAACAAACAAAATAATGTATTTTATGGTTTAACAAAAAAATATTTTTTAAGATGGGAGAAAACCATTAAACTCGCGACACTGTTACCGTTACCGAAACCTCTGTATATAAGTATCTACATATATTGACTCCGTTTACACGAGCGTTGAAATACATTGCTAATATAACTATATACAATATAAAAATATATTGTGTAAAATATTTCCTAACGGTTCCAAAAATTCACACGTAATTGTTTAAGTTTCCACTTTTGTCGGCACTCCCGGTCTGTTGAAAGTCTCATTAAATGACGGCTAGGGTGGGAAGTAGGTATCTGTAAAAACATCTCTCAAATCAAAGATACACTTACGATAGTCTTATCGAGTTGGATGAGGAGAGGTACTGCCAACGGTCGGTGGGCGCTTTCTCGCCGCACAGCTCCAGCGGAGGGCCAGGACTCTCGTACCATAATCGTAATACTGCTGCTGGACATCCACGCTCTGACAAAATAAAATAGAAACGTTGACTATGCGTCTGAGTTGTGCAGTACCTTTCGTTTATCATTTCTAGCTTGGTATAAGATTTTTATCCTTATTTACAGAAAAGATTATTTTTGTTTAATACATATTATTTAAATATTCGAAATGAAGAGTTATTTATTATATTTTAGCCTGTATCACAAGTATTCGAATTCATGTGAATTTTAAAGCAAAGTTAGGAATATTAAGTATTATGAGCATGCATGGTACTCTATAGCTATAGGCAACCTAAGCAAGCTAATTATAATTAGTTCCAGCGGACTCCATTTTGAGCAGTTCCTTCGATACAGAGAACTGTAAATAGTGTAAATAGGTATGTAAGTTAATTATTCTGTAGATAGCTCCGATTTTTTAAATACGCCTGAAATATTTATACCTACAGTCCGTTGATAAATTGATTTGTTGTGAAAAGAACAATCGTGGTTAATAATCGAAAAGAAGTTTAAATAAAATAGGTATTTCTGACGGTCCTAAGCCCGTGTAAAGTATGAAGGACAAATTGGAGTCTATCTACGTAAGTACTCGCTAGCTCGCGCCTATATAGGTATAGTTTTGTCAGCTGCTGTTATCGTCGGCGGTGCGCAGCGGCCGCCGAAACGCCCACGGACGTGTTTCATTCATATAAGATAATGAATGAACGATCAGTCCATTACTACTTTCCAAGTCGATCGAGTAAAAATGAATATTAAAACTGAAACTTTTTTTTAGACAACATTACAATTGATTTAATCATTTTTATTGGTACTATAGATGATTCCAAATTCAAATATTTCGTTTCCAAAACGCTTTCAAAATCACCGTATATATATATATATATTTGTAATAATTGCTTAGTAGTAATAATATTTACCCGTAAGATGTCCTTCAACAGCGAAATATTCGAAATTGAGCAATATTCTCTTCCCAGGTCGTGCAGTCACGAACCAGTTACAGACCCTGGACGCCGCGCCGCGCACGGGCGCTTCGTACGTGAGAGGGTAGCGCGGGGACGTGATGACGCCCCACTCCGCACCAGACATATTGCCGCCGCAGTCACCGAATATCGACTTCGCGGGCTGGAATAGAAATGTTGTATTAAGACCAAGCTCGTGAACTGCACTGTTTTCTACATGGCCATCGTTCAGGTCCATACTGATGTCATGTCTTCCATCAAATCTGGTCTCATCCACATTGAGCTTCACTTGAGCAGTATGAAGGGCTTCCTAAGCAGTCAATGCACAAGATGTAGATCAAAGCAGCTACGAGCTCTGTCTTCTTGATCTATTCCGTCACATCCTTTCCTGAGTTTCAATTTTTGTTAAAGGAGATGATGGACTGAATCAGAATTAGGGAACTCTCTCTTCTAGTCGGAAGGCGTAAGACAGCTCACAGAGGGGATGATTCCGTTTATTGTGGCAAAGACTCGATGTAACGAAACTCATATTGGATTGTGATAATAATTATAATCGCTGAGAAACACACGACGGTAAAATATAACCATCGCAAGGGACTAATGTGGGTGACGAAATAATGAATCTTTCTGAAAGGACCTACAAAAAAATGGCTGACCAATGTTTTAAGAATGAATTAGGTGTCACCTGTCATACCTCAAATACATATCTAGCTTTGAATCCAGATGCGACAGCCTCGACATCGGTGTGTAAGGCCAGCACGAGGCCGCTGGCACCGCGGGGCGAGTGCAGAGGCCCTGGCGTTGCGAGCCCACACCAACGTCCCAGTGGCACGCGGGTCCCTTCGCGCCCCACCCACCACGCTTCCACCCAATCCTCGCTACATGTCGTTCCACTGAAACCACATTTGACGAAATAGATTTGTATAGAATGGAATATCCGGAGTGTAATTCAATTGAATAGTTGCCATTGCCAAAAAGGTAAACACCGTTGGGGTGTTGATTTAATTCTTATACACTTGTGTGATTCACATATTTGTCTAAGTGATTTTTGTGTTCTCTATAGATGATTCTACACGGATTCTTTATTAGAACACAAAATGCAGGTTGTAATAGACCCGTAACTAATTTACCAAATATCTTATTAGAAGCTGATTCTGGATCTCTCCTATTTTATGATCAATACGGCACACCGTATCGATTCGATATCCGTAAATCCCGGTGGGGTTATGATTTGAGAAGTTTTCTATACGCATAATAAAAAAGGCCTGTAACTAATTTCCCAACTAATAAGCTTTCAGGATATATTAAAATTTAACAAAAACAATAAAATCTAGTAGTGACTTTTTATGGGTTGATCTATATTCTATAAAATAGTAAAAAATAAACGATTACTAATTATACTTTGACAAATCGAACTTCATACATAAACATATAAAGTTTTATTAAGATGTTGTAGCGTATTAAAAGTAATTAGGTTATGACGTCTAATATTGATTTACATATTTAGTCGAGTGTTTAATAACAGGTGGTTCATAATTCAAGTCAAAATATCGCGTAGTAAAAAAATAATTGAAAACTATCTCTGTGTTGTAACGTATTCGGAGAAGACCACGTACTGATAATAAACTTAGGATTAGAGTTTACCCACCCGTAGAGGCCAGCTGTAGCATTCCATGCATCAGCTCGCACCTTGAAGTGGTCAAACACAACAGTGACTTGTTCGTTCGGCGCTGCTGCCAAGGTGTAAGTGCAGTTCATTCGCGACGGGTAGTTAGACGGGTACCGAGGAGAGTTCAACTCTCCACGCTTCTTCGCCTCAGAGCGATATGTGAACGCACATTCACCGCCCGGTGCTGCAGTTCCTGGCACTCGATATTCTAAAAAAATATGTACCTTTTATTGGAGTCTTCACAAATATTAAATACCATAAGTCAATTTTTGAAGAATATTGGGCAATCGACATTTATCTTAAATCATTTTTTAGGTATTTTGTATTGTGTACAAAATTTTCCAAGTAGGTGCATTTTATAAGGGTAGGCGACAATTACTTTTAATTTTTAGACCTAAATTAGCATAAAACTTTATCTTCTAATGTCATTATATGTATGTAAAGATTTTTTCAGATTTTTCAAGCCAACGGTGCTGGTGACATGGCTAGGTATACCAGAATTTACTATACATTAGCAAGTCATTCATTCATGTTAATTAAATACCATGCATTTTGCGCACCGTCACAGTTTTTAAAAAAAATTATTTAATGATAACCCACATTCATCATTAGCCTATCGCAGTCCATTGCTGCCTCTCCCATTGCACTTCAACCGATTTTCGGCTTCTCGCATCCAACTCCTGACAACCATCTTTCGCAAATCATCCCTCCACCTGGCCTGTGGGCGTCTTATTCTACGTTTGCCGAGACGCGTCCTCCACTCAAGAAAATAATTATGAACTCATTATGGGATAGAACAGAAATAAAAATCATGGTAGAACTACGAAATCCTTAAAAGATTATAGAAGTACACACACATGATCTTTTATGTGTCTTATCATGTGTCGTGGTGACGGATTAAGAATACAGAGTGTCACCACCCCTATTCATCCCGTGGGTGTCGTAAGAGCCGACTAAGGGAGAAAACTACTCAGAACAACAGCACTGTAGAGAGAAGGAAAACTTGACACAAACTCTATACCAACCCGTCTGGCCAGCGTGGTATAGTAGGCCAAAACCTCCTTTCTAAGGAGAGGCCTGCTGGAGCAGTGGACTTTTAAAGGCTGTTGATGTGATCATGTGTCTTCATCGACTGTTTAACAATCCAGTTTATTGCAAATACTGTGACTATATTTTAAATTTTCTTCCGCCTACAAGGCGCATACTCACCAGTCTCGAAAGTATATTTCGCCTTGAAACCTCTTCCTTGCAACTCTCCGGAGCTAAACACCATAACAAGCCTTGGCCCGTCAGACAGCAACGGCGGTGGGAAAAGTTCCGGCACACTGGTGCCTTCGCCGCAGAGCTCCGCGTCATGCTTATCGTACGAGTCTGTCGTTTCCTGACCACGGAGGTACACCTTTAAGTAGCCTTCTGGACACGAACTGAGAACAACAGAAATGGCAACTTCAGACGGTTTATCACCAGTTTTATTTTAATTACGAGTGACTTTAATCATCATCAGCTTTCTTGTTTCTCCCCTTTTCCACAATTTACTTAGGGTCGGTGTCATGCGGCACAATTGTCTAATAACCCTCCTGGGGAGGCCCTCAAACGAGGAGCCTCCTGGGCAAAATGGGAAATAAAACTACTGTAGCTGGAAAAGATCAGGACCATAATTTCTTCCACATGCTGGTCAGGAAAAACTTGAAAAGAATACGTTTCAGATATTTCAGCTAAATAGTATAAGCTATGAGAGAATGAATATGACATTCTCATTGGGGTATACTCACTCTGGTTTTGGATTATCTCCTTTCGGTATAGAAAAGTTTTGAAATTCTAATCGAACCCTCTCCAAATTTTGCGAATCTTGCATACCGTATATAAAATATCTGAAATGAAAAATGATATAAGTTAGAAAGGTTCAAATTAAGCAGCTTTTTTTAGTGGCAGAGAATTACTTAGTAGTCATAATAAAATTTTACTATAAAAGTGATTTCATTTAATAATAATTACAAATTGCTCATTCAAGTTAATTAAGTCTGAAATAACTGTTTAAAAATGCCCGTCGTTATAGCTCCAGATATCCCAAGGTAGATTCTCGTACCTACTCCATTTACGAATGTTCAAAGTGTTCATGTATTTGGATTAAAAACAGTAACATATAATGTAGTTTCTTAAATTAGTACAGACTTACCTACAAACAACTTTAGGTATATAGGGGAATGGATAATTTGGATGGTACACGAAACCCGTTGATTCCTTTTTACTTAGAATCTTCTGATCACACTCAGAGCCCCTAATGTGCTCGGCGTCGTGTTTACTTATAAAATCTGAAAAAACAAATCAACGAAGTCTTGTCCTTATTAAAGTTCCGAAATAGAAAAAAGGAAAAAAAAATGAAAGAGAATGATAAAAATCAAAATAATTTGATATTACTGAGATATATTTGTTAAAAAAGGTATAAAAAAATACAACATCAAGGTGTAAACAGTGAGAAACATATTCATTTGGAAGAAAATAATAATACAGGACAGGACTCACCTAACTTAACAAAACTCTCAGAGAACTCGAAAATACCCTTAAAACCACGATTTTGCGTGTTAGCCGCGCGAGGGAGCGTGTAGAAAGTGACCAAAAGTCGTTCGTCGCTGGAATAGAGCACGAGATTTCGCTGCTGGCCGCAGTATGTGCCGATCACTGCCGACGTGTTGTCGGGCCCGTCGTACACGCGCACCCAGTCGAAAGGACAACTGTTACAATAACACGTCATAAGTAAAGGACGTCAAAAATATTACCAATACCTCACAGTTTTTTTTTAAAGACTACTCCCGTCAATTTGTTTATTACACAAAGTATTGTCCTATGTGGGGATCGAACCCACAACACTCAGCGCAGTAGGAAAGCGAGGTGACGTCTTAAGCCACTACGCGATCCGTGCGGTTGTCGGCCTGAATGCAATGGTAATAAGAAGAGTCCAGGAAATGAATTAAACACAGACTAGGCTATAAAGCTTATGTGTAGAATTCAATATTATACACAAAGTTTTGAATTCAATATGTCTTGAGTTGTAATACACAATGTGTCACAATTATTTGAAGTATTTTTTCTATCACATCATTTTGACGCCACTTCAATATGATGTCTATGAAAGATCAGATATCATTGCTGCATTCATGCAGACAGATATTATTGAACTCATTCCTGGGATAGATATTATTGCCGATGTGCCTATAGTAATACCTTGCTGCTCGTGACTGTACAAAAAATAAACGTTATAAGCATCAATATTACTCACTGAGGACCTCCAAAAAATAGATCGAAGTCTCGGAACTCTAGCCGTATCCTCTGTCCTGGTTTTCCGGTAAACAGATAGTTGCATGTCATGTCCTTGGGATAGATTCCTGGGTAGGTCGGTGACAGCAGCAGCCCCGTCTTGCGCTTGCTCTCCTCTATTTCGAATGAGCACAATGTGTTCGGCACAGGGGTGCCCACTTCGTACTCCGCTGAAGAAAAAAAAAGTGGAAAAAGTAAATAATAAGCTATACCTACATTGAAGGGTTTAAAAATGAAAACAAGTATCAAATCAATAGCCGTTATGGAATTAATTCACAACCGAATCATCGTTGACTCTTAAGGTCACCAAAAGACAATTAGAATTGTGATTTAGAATTAAATAAATGACAAGAAGATTTTTCTTCTTATTACGAAGAAGCAACGAGTAAAGTACTGGAGAGGCTGCAAGAGATGAGTCTTTGGATAGAGGATCGATTGCAAAAGGATTGCTTTCTTACAAGTATCACACTCAGTTGAGCACCTATTTTTGCTGCTAGGATTTAAACACCACTTGACTGTCTTTGTAGTACAATACTCTGTACTAATAGAGGCAGCGAATTTTGTTAAGAAACTGCTTCGATCTCCCAGAGAGCAAATAACTGTTATAATTTAGTATTGTACTATTTCATATCATCAACAGCCTTTACTAGTCCACTGCTGGACATAGACCTCTCCTTAGAAGGGTGTGGCTTACTATACCAATCTGGCCAGACTTGTTGGTATATGGTTTGTTTCAAGTTTTCCTTCTCTTTGCAGTGCTGTTGTCCTGCGTAGACGATAAATAGGGGTGTTGACATTCCGTATTCTCAATCCGTCCCCACACTGATTTCATATTGTTGTCTTAAAACATAGAAACTGTGAGCTAATCTGTATTTTAATTCTACAATAATTAAAAGTTCTTACTACAGAACTCAAATCATAGTCGACAGTTATTTTTTGATTGAACCAAACTTTGATAAAGCAAAACAAGAAGTTTTGACCGCTCCGAGGGCTAGTAATAATGGATTTGGACGGCCAAAGTTTGACGGGAACTTCAGTTTGTTACTGTATTAGAAGTAGGGCGGTATCAACTACAGTAAAGGCGAGAGTGCATGGGCTATTGTTAGTGCCATTTATAAAGATCAGATGCTTTTTAAATCCCTTATTAAGTGTAAAGTTAAATCTACATGAAAATCTTTAAAAATATTAAATTCGAATTCGGAGTGCAGGAAACTTTCCTGTACTCCTTTTTTTTTCTATGCGGAAATCCCCTCGGATACCACCCACCGGTGGCTATGTCAGACTCGAACCGACTATAAACCGCACGCCGTCTCGGGTACCAGTAGTCGAGGAACCAGGTGTACCCTAAAAAGGAAATCCCTGGTACCCCGATGTACCTCAGGCCATCTACGGCGGGTAGATGACCCCTTCCTGTGTGGGAACCCCATGTTCCCTTTGTGGTTCCGAAATGGCATGCGCGCTTCGCAACGTGTCTCGCCACCACCCTGGCCTGCTTCTACTAGGGTGACAGAAGATGGCCTCACCTGTCACCCCCAGGCCTGCACTTATGGAGGACTACTTACATGCATTGATGAAGTGGTAGGTTCCTGTAAAGAGCGTTGGAGCGGTGTACGGTTTGTCTGTGTAGAAGGAGAGCGCGACGGCGCGGTGTAGCGAGACGCGGCGGCGTGGCGGTATCGGGCCGCAGTAGCGCCCGCCAAACGCCGAGTTGACGAGCTCGCCGGCCTCCAACGACGCCACTTCCGAGTATATATCCATATACTCGTGCATGCATCTGCAGGAGTACAAACAGATCATTATAAATTTCCTTATTATAATATTCTTTATTGACATAAATAGTGTACAATTATAACAGGATTCTCTGACACCCGCGGTAGTATAGACTGTGTTGCAGGTGTCAGTGTCTTCCCCCAATATATTATATTAGCAGTAGTATTTAGGTAAATCAATGTTATACAAGAAGAAAGAAAAAAAAACAAAGTAAATTAAAATTTATACAAAGAATAAAAAACTTCCTACAAGTCATAGTATGTTTGCATGTGCGCTTGTGTATGCGCCTGTGCGCGCACGCGTTTGCGCACCTGCGTGTGTGTTTATATGTACTTGCTTGTCTTATATCCTGTGCTACATAGAAATCATTAATTCCTTAATAAGTTTTTAACATCATCGTAATCTATGGATTATCTTATCAAGGTGGCCAAAATACTTTTTTTTGGTATTAAAACAAAAAAAAAAACCAACAAGCAGATGGGTCCCTTAATGGTAAGTGACTACCGCCACCCATGGTCACCTGCAACTCAAAGAGTCACAGAATGCGTGGCGTGCATCAATGACCTTTGAGTCCGGGAATCAGAGGGGGTGAAAAGTTTTCTGTTTTCTGCGAGGCCTTGGTCTTACTCCAGCCGAGCCAGCCATTTGTGCCAAAGCATAGCCCTCCCACAATTAAAAGTCAACTAGTTGTTATACTCATTCATATCTAATCACTCAAACAGAGCCTAAATATTAATATTTTAAATTAAAAAAATCGAACATCTTACACACAACGCCATCTAGTTTCAAACTAAACAGAGTTTGTACTATGAAAGATAGATTGACTGATAGAGTACTTTTAAACTTTTTTTGTAATTACATACATATTATACATAGAAAACACTCAAACTCCGAAACAAATATTCGCAGATCATACAAAAACTTTGGTTAGACCCGGAAATCGAACCCGAGACCTCAGCACAGAAGTCGCATACGCTACCACTGTACCACCCAGGCAGTCAAACTTCACATTTACCGTAAATACTAGTACCCTGGTTAAAATACTGCGACACAATTTGTTTAAAAGAAAGAATAGCCATTTCGGTAGACACTTCAGAACAAAAGCTAATTTATATCAATAGTCTATGTTCAACAGACTTAACTTTTTATGTATTATACGTGTGGAGAATGGGCGAGTCCTGGTACGGCCTTCGCACAGAATAATTGCGATAAAACCTCTGTCACACTTAAATCATCATCATCATCATGATGGTGATTTAAGTGTTCTGATCCTACCTGATCCCACCGAGTATCTAATAACTTTTTATCGAATTTAATGTGGAAACCATTTTTTTAGGTTAGGAATTCTCTGTCTTACATCAATATTATCATTACAATTAAAACTGCCACTGTATAGACATTTTGTACTATTTTTTGTAGTTGTTTCCACTTTTTGTTAAAACTTATTTACTAAAATGTAAGAAATTGTAATTATTTGCACATTTACATAATCGCACACCTTACACATCTTACAAGCGGCCGTCTGATCCCAAACTAGGCAGAGCCTGTACTATGGTAACCAGACTGCTAATAAACATACTTATATATTTCTAAATCCATACATATAATAGATAAATTACACTCAGGCACAGAACAAACGATCGTGCTCATCAATACATCAACAAATATTTGTTCTGGGTGGGAATCGAACCCACGACCTCCGGCTTAGCAGTCAGGGTCACTAACCACTAGACCCACAGGCCCGTCACTTCACATAACTTCAGGTATTCTAAATACAACGTTCTATGCGCGTTTCTCTCTATCTTATAAAAAAAAACATTAGTTGCCGCCCATTTTCCGCTAATGTATATAAGAAAAAAATTAAAATAACTTATAAATTGTTAGATCTACTGCTAATATCAAATTAACCTTTTACATAAGCTCCCAATACACAATATAATGGTACTTATAGGTACTTAAATATTAAAACATAAATTATATTTGTATTCAAACAGTGATCATGACAGCGATTCCTACCATCTTGATCAATAAAGTTACAAGGTATAGGAAAAACTTTTACACTTCAGTTACACGATTTCACAAAAGGCTATCTCGTATTCCGCAATGTTTAATCAGAAACGTTTTTTTCGTTTATATTAGATGACAAAGTCATATATAAAGATAATTTTCGCCTCGACTCGCCAGAACACGTCAAGCGAACTTTGTTTTTGTCAAACTATGCCTTCCCTTAAAAGTTTGACCTAATTCCTAAGTCTGTACTCATGCACATAAATAATAACATCGAGGCAAAACATGTTTTATCTCATATTAAAAGGAAAGAGTGAAAGGGATGTACACTTACGCTGGAAGCTCCCCCACTGCGGCTCCACTGGAAAACAAATAAATTAACGTTACTGTCAAATAGTTTTGTCGTCAAAGGGCGCCAAATATTTATTGGTTATTTTGTTATGTTCTTTTCGTGCCTAACGTTTTATAGTTGATTCTAAATGTTAACAGGACACAGAACTATCGATGTTATAGAATATCGATAGTATATGAATGGTGCAGGATGGTTATTTTTCAGGGCAGAGATAATGTTATGCTTTTCAAATTATGCTCGTAAATGCCAACATACATATCTTAAGCTAATGCATCCGTAACAATGAACCTAATAAAAATAATGAACTAAACGTTTCTATATTATGACAAATACACGAAACTTAATATTAATCTTTTAAATGGAATCTAATTTCACTTAGAAGATTGAATTCAGCGCAGCTAGATAAAGATACGACTTTAATAAGTAATTAGCTGGAACCAAGGGAGCAAACTACGCAGGGCAGCAGCAAACAGAAGGAAAACTTAAAACGAGTCTTGTACCAACCTGTCTAGACAGCGTGAGATTCGTATGTCCAGCAGTGGACTATTAAAGGTTGTTTATGTGATGTGATGTGATTGAAGAATAAAGTACTTACTCCGGAGGCTTTCCCCGTAGATCGAACGTGCGTAGCTGAACGAGAACCCGCTGGCCTGGCGCTGCCAGAAACGTGTACAGGCACTGGCGGCTCCGATTGTTGGGGTTTACCAACTCCGGTGCGTGGAAGGTGCCATTGCTCGCGCCGCCGCGGCTCACGAACGTGCGGTCGCACTCTGGCGGGAGAGAGAGAGAAACAAATTATGAAAAATGTTTCATGATTCAGTCTGTCCTCCTCTGGAACGCCCGAGGAAAGCCCTGGAAATCAGAATGCCACCTAGTCGGCTTTCAATTAAAGCTATGGTTCGTGTTGTCATCTCCTCCTCTGAGTTTTAACAATAGTAGAAATATATAATCATGTTTTATTAAACATATGTTATATTAGTCCACTGCTGCACTCCTATTCATCCCGTGGATGTCGTAAGGGCCGATTAAGGGAGCAAACTACGCAGGACAACAGCACTGAAAACTTGGAACATACCCTGTACCAACCCGTTTGGCCAGGGAGTGGTATAGTAGGCAAAAACTCTATTTGTAATTCGATGGGGATGTCCTATGTGGACTATTAAAGGCTCTTGATGATCTGTGTGATGTATAGTTGCAGATTTTTCCCTGTACTCGTAGTATAAGACGATGTTACTTGCCAAATTTCATAGTTCTAAGTCAAAGGGGAGTACCCTTTTTTGTTTTTCTTCCTGTGCGGTAATCCCCTCGGATACCATACCATCCACCGGTGGTTTTGTCATAAATTTTGATTCCCTTGTCGAAATATGCGTTTTTGCGGCATTAGTGGCAATTTTTTTTATGGAATTGGGGGCAAACGAACATACGGGTCACCTGATGAACGAACTGATCCTATAATGATTCGTTTTTTCCTTTTAAGTAGCGGAACCCTAAAAAAGCGAGGCTGTGATGCATTAAGGATTCATAAGGTACCTACCGCTTTCATTTTTTTAAATGTCACTTCAGCATTATTAGATAAAACACTTTTAGGAACAAAATTAAAATCAAATAAAATGTTCTGTAACGGATTTAGCGTTCTTAACAGAATTGCTATTCCGTCGTCTGAACCGATTTTCTAAAATATGTTTTGCGACGTATTTAGATCTATTGGGAATAAAAACTGCATTAAATTGTATTAATCCGTTTAGAAGTATGATGCCACAGACAAATAAAAAAATGTTAAACACCCTCCATCTTCATTAAAAGTTTTTTAACGTTACCTGTATACGTATTATACAGGTAGCCTTATGCCACAATCAGGCACACAAATTATGTTCATAAATAAAAGGCACTATCAACAGAGTGTCTCCTTTGTTTAATTCCCGACATTTGCTCAAAATGCCGATAAAGTGATGCCTATCCTGAGCTTTCTAAATAAGTTTCGGAAATAAAATGTTCAGTAACGAACGATTGCTCGTAAAGAACTTTTGTCGATTTTTTTTATAACAGAAACAATAATTTTAAAAATATATGAATTAGAAGCCCTTCAATTTTGATATTGATGAATATTTTTTTTTTATTTTAAAGACAACTCCCGCATTAGGAATATATCCTGCGTCGTGGGGGACTTTATAAACATACATGAAACGGACACAAAGAACACCCAGACTCAGAACAACAATTTGTGCCAATTACAGCCAGCGCAGAACAAATGATGGTACTTGACGAGTACCATAGAGTAACAAGTTTATTTGTCCTAGGTGGAAATCGAATCTAAAACTTCGAGCTTAACAGGCAGAATCACTAACTACTAGACCAACAGGCCCGTCTACTATCTATAAACTATTAACAATAATCCGCGTGGATTGTTCTTAATCGTTATTTCACTTAAACTTTGCGTTTCAAGAAAAGAAATGAATAACATAATATATAATGGTACTACAAACTGTAAAAATTAATAACAGACATTGAACATAATTATATTGACTGCACGGATGGCGTAGTGGTTTAAGTGGTCGTCACGCCACTTATTACTACGCTGAATGTTGTGGGTCCGTTCCCCACATGGGACGACACTTTGTGTGATCCACAAATTGTTGTTCTGAGTCTGGGTATTCTTTGTATGTATGTTCGTAAAGTCCCCCGCGACACAGGATACATTGCTGGAGTTGTCTTTTTAAAAAAAGACATTTCTCTCACAGTTTACAGGAATAGAGAAGAAAAATTACGCATCAAAAATTAAACAAACTTAAATTATGAAATTGGCTTACGAAAGATTTTAAGGCAACAAGGCACTTCAATTCAAAGTTGGTTTAATGTTACGATACAGTTTTTAATAAAACAGTTGGTAAGCCAACTTCTCACAGAAGTCTTTTATTTTATCTTCGACAAAATCTATAATAAGCTCTATTATCTAAGCTCAGCATCAGCTTTCATCAGATTTGCAATCTTTCTATTCCAAAGAATAAATCTTCAAAGAATACCTTGTCGTTTTTTGATCTAGAAAGGTTTTGCATTTAGTGTAAAACCTTCGAATATGTAGGCACAGAAATAGCCATGCTTTGATGCCTACAGGCACACAACACGGCTGTTTTGATGCCTACAGGCACACAACACGGCTGTTTTGATGCCTACAGGCACCCACTGGAAGCTCTTTCGTTTGAAAAACAGTGGAGATTTCAAAAGCCTCTTCACGGCTGGCTCGGTTTAAAGAATGGAGACGAAACTACTGTGATGTAGTACATAATATTATGTAGTTAAGTAATTAATTTATTAGCGCACTGCGTTCACTTATAAACTATATTTAATGAAAAAAGGTTTAGGTAGAATTTTAGACTGATCTTTGGTTTTGGCCTACTGTACCACCGTGGCCAGACGGATTAGTATAGGGTTTGTTTCAAGTTTTCTTTCTCTTTGCAGTGACGACACCCACGAATAATGGTGGTGATATTCCGTTTTCTTAATCCTTCATCACACGGACAGTAACTGTAATCATCCGTATCCGTCACCGCTCCGTACGTCCAATCAATAATTCGTCACCACTCTAGTTAGAACAAAAAAGTCTAAATACACTGTGCATTTTAAATTGAGTTTTTATTTCCACTTCAAAAAAGGAAAAGTTCTCAATTCGGTTGTTTACTAAGATTTTTGCGATGGTACCTATGCTTTCTGTTTAGTCGTAGTCAAATTTAAGACAAAGGGATGTCGATTAAATGTCGGTGATACTTTTTATGATCTCAACTATTTACACCCGTATCCAAGCAGACTGATAATGAAAATATAAATTATGAAAACTGCTAAAATTTAAATTATGAAACCTATTTAAATGTAGTTATTAAATCATAGCCGCCGCTTTTTAGCACAAGTGGGCTGTTGTCGTTATATTATTTTTATTTTTAATCTCTGTATAATGGAAACATCAAAATTGTCTGTATTTCTTTAAATACATATTTCATTACAGTGAAGTAGATAACATTACAGTTAAAAACATGACGCGTATAATAAATCAAAAATCTTTAAGTTCGTTAAAAACAGTGTTCTAAAATATCGTGACTCAGTGCTTTTGATTTATTTATTGTTTAAAAGTTACTACATTATCGTAAGTGATTTTGTAGTTATTGGGCCCCAAATCAGAAGTAGTAACTATAGTCTGGTTTTCAGATTCAATTTTCACTTTGGATCTTTTTGCTAAGCTGCAACAGAAAAAATCAAACTTGTCCTATCTTTCTAATTTTTAGAAATGTACAATTTGAAAATTTTAAAAGAACGATTTTCTATTATTAGAGCCGGAATTAAGTTTTCAAAATGTAATTAGACAAATTTATATTAAATTAAATTAAAAATTCAGTGCCAAAATTACTTAATTCTACTTGTAATGTTACAATGACGGAATGTTGGAATTTGGTTGTTATATTCGTATTTGTGATAACTTTTTTTTTAATGTTATTTAAATTGGCCCTCAACCTAAATATTTCTCTGCTTTATGTGTTTATATCATAGTGTTATTGGTTTAATCGTGTACTGTGGAGCTAAGCCATATGACCAGATCAACCATATACAAGAAACCCTTATAATTTTGCCACATATTTTTCCATACGTTTCCTTCTATGTGCGCTTAAAGGGTTTTAACCTCGATTTTTTGTTACAGTAAATGCATTTTTATGGTGGAGGGGGTTATGTTTTTTATACTTTAGTGATAACTTTATCCAAAACTTTTCTGCTTTTAATTTTTTTTTAATATAAAAAACAATAAAATATAATATTTGAGAATGTAATTTTATTAAAAAACATTAAAAACATAAAAGAACAATTTTCAATGCTGGAGCGTATGAAGGGTCATAGCGACCTTTCCATTAGGTTATAGTTTCAGAAGATATTGACGTCCTGGTTATATTAACGGAATTAGTAAATGAGTATCATTAAGTACCTATATTTTCTATAAAACCATCCTGAGGCAAAGCACAAAAAATATTTTCTTCGAAATGTTTAGAAAAATCGTTTCCAAAATTTACATTTTGGAGAACATATTATTTTTTAAGACACATTTTAGCATTCAACAAAGGGAAAATTAAATTGACCAAAAAATTCCGAAAAACATCATGATTTACATGAATTAGAAAAAGTATTTAAAATTTCAAACGAAGTCTCTCATAATATATTTCAAGCGGGCGTAGCATGTATTTTGGGTTTATTTAAAGCTCCAGCAAAAATTGAAAATTCGAACTCGATTCCTTTGTAAAAGGAACGACCAAAAACAAGGCGTTCTTTTGTCATCATTACCTCCTACAGCTGATGCAGCGTTTGAACATCTAATACGAGTATATGTATATTTTTTTTATTTCCTTAAAACTTTTTTTTCACCAAATCTGCCCATGAAATTACGAAGTAAGAAATTAAGAAGCCCTGTAAGAAATTGCTTTTTAGCGATAAGGTCCCCATTTGTACATGGTCATTAACTTGGAATACTTTTGTAAGTATAATATCCTTAATTAGTGTATAATAAAGATTATTCTATTCTATATCTACAAATCCAGATATAGTTAGAAAATGTAGACTACTAGCTCCAGATAATTTATTCAAAATGTTATCTCGTATCTGCAAAAGGGTTGTGGAGCTGGAGTGTTATACTGCAGTGTAGCATGTCTACAGTGCAGCGAAAGTGGTTGTTTTAATACTCCAACGATCAAGTGAATCCAAATGAAGCGAGTGTGAGTGAAGTGGAAGATCATACTTAACACTGACAAAAACGTAAATGCTTTAAATAAACAAAATAATTTATTGAAAAGTTATTTTTTTATTTCATTTTCATTTCAATTTTCGATTACTGTCTCTGTATAAATATTATATTAACTTAGTATTGGTATATAAAAATGTTCAAAAGCCTTATACCGTGATATAATTATTATACCAATTAAATAATCGAAAATATATTTATTTTTTAAATCGAGATCACATTTTTTTAATATTCGAACTTTTTTGTATATATTATAGGCTAAACATTCCACTTTGAATTATTAAATTTTATCTACTGTAACTGAAATCAGTGGTTTTCATGTTTTTAACGGCACTGGCGTTCCACTACTCAAAAAGGAGTCTTCCATTTCTTGAATTTTAATGTTGAGAAACCTTAGTGTAGTGGTTATAGGCCAATGTTCACTGTTTCCTCGTTGCAATTTTTCTACTCTTCTACTTAATATATTAAGGGATACGTAGACGAACAGACCAGTCTTAAATGTTCTAAGCTCCAAAAGAATTAACCTATAGGCACTATTTTGCCCAAAAAAAAGGAAGTGACACTGGCAATTCTGCGACTGTGAAGAAGTTTTTGTATTATTCAAATTGTAATTAGTTGAATAATACTAATGACTAAAAACATTTAATTCAATCAAATTCGACAAGTCTCGAACGACGATACCTTAAAAAATAAATTGTTTTAACATTAACATACAATAAACAACATGCTAAAGCTGATTAACAAACATAAAAAGCGATGGGTACATTAAAACAATTTCCAATTTCAAATCTTGCCCGATTGGTGTTGACAGCAAAAGGGGATAAATAAATACGAAACGTATTTTATGCAAAATGGGATGGCTGCGATACGATCTACATTGTGCCAGGGTGTCGCACCTATTGGAGATACGTTTGTGTAATGTTTCTTTTTTTATTTGCCGAAGATACGAATTTTTATTAAAATTCAGTTTCTGCTGCCATTTATACTGTAAATTTTCGGGCATTTAAATGTCGATTTTGTATCAGGATTTGTGCTGAACATACATATACGTGCAGTGTTAGTATGACTAACAGTGAGATAACTATATTTAGCTAAAATAAGATCTCTTTTTAAGTGGGTGAACTGAAAACCTGGCTCCTAAATTGTTTCCATACTTATATTTCTGTTAACTGTTTCATTTTGTCTTTGATCACTTTGTTTTCTTTTACTTTATTCGGATTGGGATCTTTGCGTAGGAAGTGTTTTTTTTTTGGCATTTTTGAGTTCGAATTTTGAGATCTTATTATAGCGATTTAATTTATTTATTATTAGAAGACGTACTTGGAAGTTTAGTAGGTGCGGGAACAGCGAGAGTAGCACGGCTTGAGAGCTCCGTAGTCTCTGCCGCGAGCACTGTACAAAAATAACATTAAGTTATTCCTAAAAGCCTACTTAATTTTATTAATAAAATGTGTATTATCTTGAAAAATCTATCTTGTTATCTCCTGTTTGAAATGTTGTCATGTTCGTGAACGGGTACAAATTATAATGATTGGATTCACCTTCGTAGTTTTCAGTCCTAAATGTATATATTCGTACAAATTTTCTGAAGAAATTATATTTAACAACCTATTAATTCGAGGTCGCAGTGTTTTTGACATTTATTTGTGACATGATGATTACAATTATTATATATATAACAGTAACTGCGTAAGTGTATTTTTTTGGTCATTGTTACTCAGTACAAAGCAACTGTAGCGTTATATTTATAAAGTAACTTAGGCGTACTATTAATATTAATGAGGTTAAGGAATCTAAAATATAAAAAAGTGCTTTATATATTAAAAAGTCGTAAAAAAATATTTCAGTTTTACTTTTAACTTTTAACATGATCTTGTAAACAGTGTTTCGAAGTTTATCTTCACGGCCGCTTAACTTATTTAATTAATTCACACCGGGTCTGTAGAACGCTATTCTAATGCTCCAGGTAAGTTGATAAAGTATTCTGAGAAGCAAGTTATGAAGAATTCACAAATAAGTGTACACTCTCGCCGGCAAGCCTCCATTTCGTGGATATTGCCACGAAATGGAGGACTAATGCATTCAGGGTAAGTGAATTTACATACACACTTAAGGCATACGTTCTTTAATGTCATTCGGCAAGAGAGCACGTTATTTGTCTCGCTCTAATCGTTATGATGAGAGCGAGACAAATAACTTGCTAGATTATAATTTATAACAGGGCAAACATTTCTTGTATAAAAATGAAGATAGTGTGAATAGTGGGTTTGTTCTTAATATTCTTGAAATAGTTTTCTTACAGGATCCCTTATATGTAGCATTTAATTTTATAATATCGTCGATTAGCATTCATTACCGCATATCTTTGATAGTAAATTTACAGTTTTTATTGTGTTGGCAACAAAAAGTGATAGTATTAATACTTTTTAACAATAATTTAACAAGTATTTATGTGTAATTAGAAGAAATCTCCTAAAAAAGTTATTTCCACATTCACGGTCTCAATGCAGACCAAAAAGAAAAGAGAGATGGCAAAATTATCAATAATTGGATGAACGATAATATTAAGCTACCTGTCACAGTAACTGATAGCTTTTTTTATGGTGTTATTGGAAATGAGTTAGAAAACCATAAACCATTCCTTTAAATGTTTAAAAGAAATTAATGAATGATTTTTTTCTCTTCATGGACGTGATTTACATTTGTTATTATGACCCGGCAAACTTCGTTCCGCCATATTTTCATTATTAGTGAATATTTTTGAAGTTCCTGAAAGACTTGTTTTACTATTTATGCATTAACTCTATCACTTTTCATATTATGAGATTACAAACGTTTTTTTTTTCTTTTTTACCAACCTTGTCCTGATAATAACGAACACAAAAAAGAAAAAGTTCGTCAGTTATGCGCGTACATACATTTCGGCTATTCATTGTTATTTATATAGAAGATTCGTTACGATACTGGGATTTAACAAAAATGTTATGATCACATATACGACACTATACTCTACTGTGGTAATGTCGTGCATGATATCGTGCATTATTAATTCAATAAGCACTAGTTATGAACAAACTTGAACTAAATTCTTCCGTCGTCATCGGATGAAGTTTAATATCCAAACTGAATAGTTTATGAGATGGAGTCTTAAACAGCTTCATTATACTTTTATCCAGTGACGGATGGAATGTTAGAGACAGATTGTGTCTAAAATGTCTAAACTTAATTAAGAGAATTGTCGGTTTTGTCTCCCGAAAGGCAATATAGATCTCACGAGTGACAAACTAGAGCTGTCCCGTCCAGTTAGATGAGGTCCAAACTTCGCTAATTACTGCCGGGTTCATCCAGCAGATGTGCGGGTTGGCCGCAAAAACCTTTGAAAACAGTTAATTGGTAGTCTTGTTATAAACTGTAGTACAAAAATAAAACTTTGATCCGTCATCGCGGAACGTACGGCAGATGTGTGAAACATTGAGAATATTTTGTAGAAATGATGATAAAAAACCCGATGATAGTTTACGAAAGAAGAACAGCGAAACGTCGCCGTGGCAATAAATGTTACATTTACTAACACAAACGTTGCGATGCTAACAGCCAGTCGGGTCCTCTGCATTTGGTGTTTCACATCAAAAATTGTGCTTTCAATGATTGAGTCTTTTTTTATATTAGCAATATGTATAGATAATTAAATGCATGTGTTAGGAGTGGATCCAGAAGGGTAGTGTACTGGTTGGGGTTCAAACCTACTATCCTTTGAACGCAAGTCCAATTTTCCGCTTTATAAGAAATTAAATGTCTAGCGTGGAAACTCACCATTTTTATTTATTTATTTATTTTTACACTTGCTGCATTACAACTTGCACGAGGCGGACTTAATGCCACATGGCATTATCTAACAGTCAACCTTAAGATGTTCAGTAAGGGACAAGGGACAGCAGGTGCACATGTAATATGTAAAAAGAAGAGAAGCTAATAAAATATAACATAAATTTGATTATACTGTATAAAATACACAGACGAATACATAAACAAATATTAATATATTATATTTACGGAATAAAATAAATACAATAATATCTGAGGTAACGAAATCATGAGGATATTTCTGCTAGCTGTTTCCTGGTGAATTCTCGGACTTTGTCACGACTTGCTGACCATTTTCTCATTTATCATTAAGTACTTAGTAGAACAAATCGTCTATAACAAAAATCATAGTGCACTACACTTTTATACTTTCAGCAGTCTGTTCAAAGTCTGTTTAAGTATTCTTAGTGTTAGTTTCATATACTAGTGCATACATATAGAGCTAACATTGAAAACAGGCACACTTAGTAAGTAACCGGATACAACAAGTGACTTTGCTCTAGATTTCCTCCTGAGGCTGGTATGATAAAAAATAACTGCTACGTTCTGTATTTTTTTAAACACTTTTTCATAGTCCCTTATATTTTACAATGAACACAAAGTAAAATACCATAAAAATTACGTTCCATCTAGAAATCATATTTAAAACAGTGTCACTGTGGAGAGAAATGAATGTGGCTGCACTTATGGTTTTTTTTTTTGGATTTTTGATTGATATCCAATTATTAAGAGTACTCGTATATTAATCAATGAGTTTAATTAACATCAAGATTAGGTTTTCCAGAAATAACAAACATGAATAAAACCGCGGCAAATGCAATAAAGTTGTGCTAAAATGAACTTATAAATCGTTTATAAAATGTTATTGAAATATCTTCGCACCTTAAAATGTTCAAATTTGAAGAGTGAGTAAGAATCGACCATAGAGTATTTTAATGTTTTACATTGGTAGTTTTGATTTAAAAAAAAAAAACTTAAAAACTACATGCAAAACGATTTTTGTCCATTTAAAAAAATGCATTATTAACAAAATTGTATTTTATACCACCAAACTGCATGGTTGTCTATACATACCGAATCGTGGCTACACAGTAAATACTTCTCTTTTTTAGAAGTATTTTTATTGGGTTATTACAGCTTTTTTTAAATTTCCATTTATTGTTAATAACGTATGTTAAATTACAAAAGGAATACGTAAGGAAAAACCTATATAATTAAGTTGTTTTTAATTGAAAGAATTTTGCAGGAAATCTCAATTAAATGGGTCATTTGTCCCAGGAATGTGCTGCGCCAAAAATTGTGACGTTGCTTAATGATGAAAAATATTGTAAAATTATTTTCAAACTTATTTTTATCCCAGTGATCTTGTGTTGAGTTTTTGTGGAGCTACGTGATAAGAGAAAAATTTGTGAAAAAATCTTTCATTACAAATATGAAACAGAAAATGCACACACATTCTATATACCTATAGAGTTAAGACATAATAGAACTGAGTTCACGCCGTGCCGTATATGTTCAGGCGAGTGAGACGTCACTTCCTGCTTGGAACTCGTATAACTTTGTTGTCCGACGTGCATCGACGTTTTCTCGGCAGTGTTAGGCTATAAGCGCTGTAAAATACCTACGAGTACATAGTTAAAGGTTTCCATATTGTTTGTTGGTATCCAATATTAGAAGCTTATAATTTTAATGCAAAGAACTCAACACTTTATTTTTTTTTTTTTCGTGCGGAAATCCCCTCGGATACCACCTGTCGGTGGCATGTCGGACTCGAACCGACTAAAACCGCACGCCGTCTCGGGTACTAATAGCCGGGGAACCAGGTATACCCTAGAAAGGAAGTCCCTGGTGCCCCGACATACCTCGTGTCATCTACAGACGAGTAGACGACCCCCCCCCCCCCCCCCCCCCCGTATGGGAACCCCATGTTCCCTGTGCTCCCTGGAAGCGAGCGCGCTTCGCAACGCGCTCGCCGCCACCCTGGCCTGCTTCTGCTAGGGTGACAGATGGCCTCACCTGTCTGCGCTTATTGAGGACGGAGGTCGTTCTGCGACCTCCGGTGCCTGAGTCGCCTGCGGTACCTGGCCCGTTTCCGGGCCGGGAGAGTCCTAAAACTCTCCCGGTCCCGCTCCGCCGTCTCCTCCGCGAGCATAACTTGCTCGCAGAAGGAGACGGCAAAGTTCCACGCACTCTCGCTCCGCACGATAGCCGCAATCAGGCTATCGAGCGAGAGAACTCCCACTCCGATGGCCGCCACGAGGTCTCGCCTCTGCTCAACCGGCCTCTGCTCAACGACACGGCCGTGTCGGCGTGGGACCGTGGACACGGCTCTCCACACGCTGGCAGAGTGTGGAGAGCCGTGTCCACGGTCTGGCCATCGCAGTGGTGGCACTCGGGCGTTGGCTCCTTGCGGATCAGACACAGGTGATCTCCGAAACATCCCTTCCCAGTGAACACTTTATTCCCCTATAATATATGTTACACACTTGGTAAAACTTTAGCCAAATATCAATAGACTTGGTTTCTACTAGTTATTACATTCCAAAAAATAAAAATACACATTCGAAATATAAAAACCATTAAGCTAAAAAAATTAAAAATCATTATCATTTTGGGGCGATTTCAACGCGGCCATTTTGGCGCGCTTATTCTGTGACGCCAGATTACACGAGTTTGATGTCAACAACGAAGTGTTTGGTTCACAAAGTTAAAATTGTGAGTAATAAAATCAACTTATTACCATGGAACAGCACAAATCATATAAGATAAGAACAACATAATTTAAATATATATTAATATTGTGTTATTCTTATTTACCAAAATAACATCAAAACTCACCTGACAGTATATATATTTCCTTAAGCCGAAAGACGCAGCCGTAAGGAAAAAGTGGTGCAAGGCGATGAGAAGAAACAATGTATCGTGTTCGAGCTATTTATACTATTGTGAAGATCATTTAAACATAACTAAGGACATTAAAAAGGTGATAAATACATATAAGAATCATTTTTACTCAATTACGTGCACCTACTTGTTTTGTTTACAAACCTCGACTAAAACATAACCTAGGTTCCTAAAGATATTCTCAATCCATACTAATATTGTAAATGCGAAAGTGTGTCTGTTACCTCTTCACTCTTAAAGCGCTGAATCGATTTAGATGAAATTTGGTATAGCGGTAGTCCGAGTCCCGAGAAAGGACATAGGGTGGTTTTTTATTCCTAAAATAATCCTTTAAGACGGTGAAAAGGGAAATGAAAGTTTGTGTGGGGAATCAATAAAGGCCAAACCGATTTAGAAGGAATTTGGTATGTAGATACTTTGATTCTTGAGGAAAGACAAAGGCTACTTTTTACAGCGATAACCGATATTTAAGCGGGTGGCGCCGCAGACAAAAGCTAGTATCTAATACAAAAGACATTTATCCATAAGATTATTAACTATGAATGAAAACATGTAACTTATTAGAATACAAATCATCACCAGAAACCATAAAAACAATTTATTGACAGAAGACGTCGAGTGTAAATTGACGTCACGTTTTGTTTCATAATTAATTCAAAAAATCATCGTATAGGTATGTTTTTGTAGCAATAAAGATTACAAATAGAAATATTTTGTCCATTTTGGAGTCACGTGCATATTCCTTATCGTGGACTCTGTCGGGCATAGCATAGAAAAGAGAGAGAGAGAGGGGAATTATTATATTTTTAAATAATTTGCACACTCTTTTTACAAGAATAGTACATCAAATTGTTAGATATGTAATGTACATACATTACATATTTACACTAACAAAATTTGAATTTGAGTGACACTACGAGGGAAGAACAAATATTCACTCGGTTTCGGATTGACAAAGGTGTGCCATTTTAGTAATTTTGTATAATTAAGGGTTCATTGAGATTTTTATAGCAAAAGGACTCTAAAAAAACCTCTGGGGGGGGGGGGCGCAAGGGGTGGCATGGCACTTGTGTCAGCAGCAGTAGTCGCTTACCATCAGGTAATTCGTCTACTTGTTTGCCACCTATACCATAAAAAATATATTACTTCATTATTCGTGTCAACTAAATTACAAGTCCTTACTTAGTTTGAGACTACGAGTATATAGGGCTGTGTAATCCCAAAATATTCCTATATTTAATTTAGCTGGACTTTATCCGTCATTTCAATTTCCAGTTATTAAAGATAATGTAACTACTGCCTTGTTCAAAGTATCTAGAGGAGTTGTCCATCAATCAGGTGGCAGGTTAAAGCAGATTACAGTTTGGAGAGTTGGAATTTGTATGAATTTATAATTGATAGTAGCGAACAAGTTAATCTTGTCCTTGGAGGTTAGAACTTGAGATGTTACTATAAAGAAAAATAATCATTCAATGATTTAGCTTTTAATGTTTGTATATAGGTATGAGATCGGCACGAATCTTGGAAGCTAAATTAGAACAAGTGACCGATGTCCGATTGGGCTCAAACTTGTTGTACATATATATCCTTAGAGACAATACAATAATATGGTACTATGGAGCTATTCTGATGATAGATCTGTAAGGCAGGAACTTCTTAACTAAACAAAATAAACGCATCAAGTTGTTTTGTCTACTTTGGTGCTACATCTTATTTAGAGTCAATAAAAGCTTGTTTTTTTTTTGTGATAATTAATTTATTTACATTATTCTTGTACTTGACTACTTATATCTAAAGAAATTTTCAGATAATGTAGGTTTTACTTCTTCTAAACCACAATTCCCTTGTTGTAATATTGCAAGTGTAACCTTTTGCATGTTACAGATTTTGGAGGATCGTCCAGCGATCAAATTTGGAATGTCTCGTTATATTTGGAAGATCAGTTCAGGTCACCTGAACTATGATTCTACAGAGTAGTATCATGACAGGTAAAAATATATATTGAAGCCTTATAGTTTTATGTATACGATTCTACACAGTTTTTTTAAAGAACGTATTGGCCTCGGTAGTGTAGCTGCTTTGCTGAGGTCTCGATTTCCGGGTCGGACCAAATGTTTGTTCTATTTACAACCATAATTATTCCAAGTATGATTTGCTTGCGTGCGCCATTTTTTTACATAAAGAGTTAAAAAAAAATCACGTATAGATATAGAATCACATAATAATATGAACCACATTCATATACATGATTCATATTCATATGCATTTGAGAGGTTGCAGAACTTTAATTCATACCCGTATGTGTTTGATAGTTTTGGCAACCCCTAGTAATGATGTCATGTTATAAACATTTCGTTTTGTTCTGGGGATTTTTTGTACCCACGAAATATAACAACTCTAGCAGGTTATAAATTCAGTAAAATTAATATTTTGAAAGCTTTATACAGAGTATAAAAACAAACATTAACTTTCATAAAATTTTATCGTCCAAAAAGGTCTGCTCTGAAAAAAGTTCACGTCAATTTTCCTTCGCAAAATTATTGACACCAATCGAAATCTATTTGTCCTTGGATCGCAGTAGGTATACATCGGTAAACTATGACGGTTCTTAAAACCTCTGTTCATGTAGGTATATATCTCTGGGAATAAATTGACGTCACGCGGTCTACCAAAAGGACGTTGAGCGATTCGGCAAAATGTTGCTATTTAGAGTTACTGAGTTTGTTTGATAAGTTTCGGCAGATAAGTTTTACTAATCCAAGTAGCATAACATAACAAAATAGTTTCCCAACATAGTTGACATATCAATATGTTTCACAATTACATTCTTTGACGTCAAAAGAAATACTACTAATACTACTGTACGCTTTTAGAGACAATCTTTGCCCCGCACAACCAATCTGTGGAATGGGTTATCGTCTGCGGTATTTCCGGACCGACCGAACCTTCAAGAAAAGAGCGTACTCCTCCCTAAAAGGCCGACAATGCGTTTGTGACTCCTGAGTTACAGACGTTCATGGGCGGCGATGGTCACTTTCCATCAGGTGACCCGACTACTCGTCTGCCCCCTCTAACATAACAAAAAATACTTTTCTTTTATTAACTTATTTTATATAGTATGACCCGTCAATACAGTTATTTAAAGTTCTGTAATAACGAACTTCTATTTAATTTTAATTATACACCTTTTGCTGTACCACTCGTGCTCTGAAACCACTATGAATCGACTAACCAATAATCTTCTTCCTCTTAACTTAGAAAAAACAAAATTCATCACTTTTTCTCCAAGAATTACATCACAACCGCCCTCTTCTTTTTCCCTAATGTTAACACTTGTAATATAACCTATGTACGGGTAATACTAATCAAAACTGTAGTTGTATTGCAATTAAGCACACAGATTTTATTAAATACCTTGGAGTGTACGTGGATAGTATGTTGGCCTGGAAGGAGCAAGTTAGATCATTAGTACCAAGAGTTCAAAAATTAGTATATCGCGGTATCTAATTTCCAGGTACGGAGGTCAGGCAGAGTCTGACATATAAAAATGGCCAGATTTGAGGTCCATAAGCGTCAATATAATTTAATCAGTCCTGTTATATACAACCGAGCAAATAGAACACTGAATATTTACCTAGTTACGCTTAAGACTTGCATGTACACGCACACACAA